GTCTGGAAATCTGGACATTAAGTGGGTGGCAGGAACCGTCACAGATGATAAACCCGTGAAGTTTAATCACGTTTCGATTCCAGTCTGTGGATTTCCAAATATCCAAAGCCAAAATAGGTCGACGGTGCATGTTTTATGTACTATAGGCTGGGGTATCTTACCTACCCTCAAGTGAAAGACATGTTAGTCTATCATGAAAACAAATGATTGCAATTTTAACGTGTTCCATTGAAAACATCGAATCGAAACGTGACTTAATATTCAATTAAAGCTGCCCTGAAACAGAGTTTACAACACAACTGTGGAGCTATATGCCTGAGTGAGTTCCGTTCACTCACGATTACACTTTAAAAGCATCACTAATGAGATTCCACACTTCACCCTACGTGAGCCAATTCCGAACTTTGCTCTAACAATTATTTATTACATCACTCTGACTTTAACTTCTCTATTAGAATTGTCACGTTTTAATTCTAGAGGGATTTAAATTTAAAAAACTGATACTTTGACGTCAGAGACCCTCCATCTTTAGTCTCCCCGTGACCACGGCTGCTGCAAAGCATCCGAAACGTCGGGCCGTCGTTAAAATAATTTTCAAACAAGTTTAACTAATATATATCGCGTTTTAAACTATTAAGTGTTTTATTTAAATGTGTACTTCTTGCGCAAACTACAGACAGTATTTCTAGCTTAATTCTATTTTCAAATTACGGGAAATTCATTTGACAGTATTATAAGGAAGAGAGAGAATCGAAGAAAAATATACCTTTTTGTATTTTCCTCCCCCTCGACTAAACCAATTTCTCATATTTCCTCGTTATTAAAATCTCTTGCGTTTATTGCAATAGGAAATAAGTCATTTACGTATAGCCAAGGTTGTCAACAGACATCGTATAGAAGACATATTTCAAGGTATTGTGGGAAATTAAAAATCATGAAAATACATAAGTACACAAAAAACACCAGACCATAGAGTAAAATAATTTCACTAATATATTTCGAGTTTTAAACCGTTAAAAGTATTTTATAATATAATAAAACCTATAATTAGGTTAGTGAGGACATATTTTACATATTAATGGAGACAGAAAATCCTGCGCTGTCCAAAACTTTAGTTGAGGGCGCGCCAAGTTTTCTAAGTTATTGTTGCGTGCCATAACTACCAATGTTATTTCGTATATGTAATCATAGGTTCTTTTTTATATAATAAAACATTCTTTATAAATATTTCATTTTTCATCCTTACTGTTTGCGTAAAAGCTTGTGTTTGGAAGGTGTAGGACACGGTAGCTTAATTGGTAAGAGCAGAAGCATGGAGTCGTGAAAAATGTTCAATCCAAGTGCGTTTTAAATTAAATATACTGAAAGTTTTATGCACTTAAAGGTTAGTGAACTTTGAGCGTCTCTTAAATTGTTGGGTATATATATTCCCGTTTCATATAACAAAGGTGTTAGAAGAAAAGGTAAATCGGCAAGGTATGAAATCAAATTATTTGTTTTATTCATAATTGAACAAATAAATATCACAAAAATACAATACTTATAAATTCGACTAGCTGTGTCAGCAACTTCGTCCGAGGGAATCGTTATTTTGGGCATCCAAATTTGTTTCTGCAAACTTAAACGGAAAGTCCCTTTCCATCGTTCTTGCAAGTTAATCTTAAAAGGACTTTTTTTTTAATGATTTAAAGATTAATCATTATTTCATACATATTTTTTGGGTATCTCGAACCGTTTTTGCGCTGTACGTCTCGGAAACCCATAACGATGAATATTTTTTTATATTTCTCGCTGTATTTTCGTTTATATTAATTACAGGGCAATGTTTTATAGCCTTATAGCATTTCTCGGTAAATGCTCTAAGAATAGCGCGTTTAAACAAACAAACTATGGATATATATGTATGTGGAGTCCACTCAGCTTCAACTGTACCTGGAAGTAGGCACAATGCCAATTTTCAGTGATGCCCCACGCTTGACATTTGAATTAGAACAATAGCAGGGTTACAATATATATCTATAAACATACGCACACATTTTCATCAAATTATAACGGATTATTAACGAGGGCAATTCCATTAGCTGGAAAATCGTAACATTATTCACGCGAGTAGATCGTTTTGCATTAACGGCCACAATTATTATGTACACTATCTCATTGTACAGTAATTACTTCATTCCATTCAGTCAAACGCATACCTGTATGCGGCGGGGAATTCCCGTATTCTGAACGTTCTAATAGTTGACAACCCTTATAGTATAGCGCGAGTAAGTGCATCCAAAGATATTGTGTAAGAACCCAACATAGTTGAGTAAAAACGATATAGATGTACTTAGTAATTTGATATTGTAGGAAGGTATTAAAACATTTAGTTATCGCGAGTAATACATATTTAAGTAAAAACAATAAACGGTTTAAAACGTGAAATTTACAATTGCCAATGTAAAAGTAGTTGTCCCAACATAGAAATACTACGAGAGATAAGTACAGTCTACGCCATTAGTGCACATTTAAATACTTGAAACGGTTTAAAACGCGAAATTTGTATTTACCACTGTGAAGTTCCCGAAAAAAAATAAAATTAAAAATATTGTTACTAATTAATCTAGCGTTTTAAACCATTTAAAGTGTTTTATTAAGAAATTTTTTTATGATTATCTTATTTTAGGGAATTCCACTGAAGCACGTATCTTGCCTTCGACTTACATAGTGTGAGATCGCGATTCCTCAACTTGAGGCAAGCGGTGAATGTGTTTCTGGTTCTATTCTATATTTTATAGCTAGTTATTTAGCTTTCTGGGCAATGATCGACTAAGGATATTGCTTATGTTTTCTCGGGCTTCGAACACGTGATCGCTCGCACGGATCACTGCAAGGTGTTTGCAACAAAAAAGAAATCTATAGTAATATTACAAAGTTAAGGAGTTTGTTTGTTTATAGGCGTTAATCTCAGGAACTGCTGAATGAAAAAAATGTGTTGGATAAATAATTAACAACAAAGGCTTTAGGCTACACATAAGACGATAGGAGCGAAAACACGGAGGGAAATGTGGAACGAACGAGGAAAATTAATCTCTAAATGATTCCAATGAATGATTTTTCTTTATATGATCGAAAAAAATGTCCGCTACTGTATATTTTCTTTTAAGAAACGATAACACCCTGACGACGACATGGGCAACAGCTATAATCTATAAAACTGAGGAGGTAGTTTGCAAAAATAAATAATAAACTGCCCAAAATGGCTGTTCCACGCGGACGAAGTCGCGGGCCCAGCTTATCTTGAATAAGTATTACTTTTTCATTTACTATAGACATTAAAACATGAAGCAGGGGATTCGTACTACTTTCTCTATTCATCAATCAAATTTATGAACAATTTGGTGTAAATTGTATTGACTTCAAAAGAGTAGCCCGAGTTATGTACCCACGTACTTACATATATGACATTAAAAATATTTAAATATATTTTATTTAGCACTTCTTGTTTCGTGAAAGCCTGGGTTCAAATCCCGGGGGAAATTATTTAGGTCGGCCACAGCGCAGAAGTCTGATTAACGACTTGCCTGTAAATAAGACCGATTAGTGAAACGGACACAGAAATGTGTTCGCCCCATGCTCCTCGAACGGAAACAGGATTCATATAAAAATGCTTTTAAATCCATGTTTTATTCGTGAAGCTTTCAAATATAATAATATCTACATTTCCTTATTACTGTGCGACTTTCACGCTCAAATTGAAATTTTAAATATCAAATCTTTCTCAAAAGCGTATTCATGAAACTATTTTAATTCCTCCTTGATTACCATTTTCTGGAACGATTTTTACATTGGCGTAATAAGAAGTTTTAAAACTTATTCCAGCAAAATGGATGGGAGAAAAATCTTCGCTGAAAGGTTTGCATAACGATGATAAACGTTATAACTTGGCCGTCGAAAATGCAGTGGTATTATAAGTTATCTTCGAAGATATACGAATATATGCTAGTTCATATTTTTAATCCAAAACTATTGGAGGTGAATCTAGCATCGCAGTACCGTCTATAGTTTACACGTGTAATACACATTGAAATGAAACATTTTTAATGGTTTAAAACCTCAGGTTTGTTAGTTAAAATTATGTGCAAATTATTTTATATCTCACGTAACCACGGCTGCTGCAATGCATCCGAAACGTCGGACCGGAATTGAATTGAATTAAAATGAGTAAATTAATATATTTCGTGTTTTAAACCGTTAAAGTGTTTTGTTGCGATGTTATATGGCTGGAGTGTTTCCCGTCTATCAAGGTCACCCCATGCTCGTCTGTCATCCTTTAACATATAATTCTCAAAGGAATCGTGTTGTATTCTATGGTAAGGAACAAAAGATACATTACCTATACATTTTTAATAGCAGCTTATACAAAAATTGCCGTGTCTCCCCGATGATACTTAAATGAATTACGAGGAAAACATTTTCGTAACAAATTTGTGTTAACTTCGTAAGCCTCGTAATAGTATTTAATTAAGGTTTACCACGTCGTTTTCCATTATGTTTTTATTGTCTTTAGTTTTTGATATACATTCCGTGCTTTGCGTAAAGTCAAATATTGTCTGTAGTTTACGTGAGTAGTAGACATTGAAATAAAACACTTTAACGGTTTAAAACGCGATATATTTTAGTCGAACTTGTTTGAGAATTCACACCCCTTGAGCAATATATTGTGTGTTCTTTCCATGTCTTGAGCTTAAGAAAATCGTTGCATATGAAATTATAGAGATTAATGTTGAAAAACTTTATCATTGCGCACGATGACATTATATAAATTAAAAATCAAGTTCTGATAGATTTTTTTATAATAAAGTAATTAATAAAGAAGAGTAGCTTTTGTTTACAACGCTATCAGCATGGAAAAGTGAGTTTCGTTAGCATCATAATTATTTTTAAAATCATAATTAGAGATAAAACTCAAAATTTTAGACCAAGGGTCAATAGTTGTTTAGACAAGAATTGTATGCCTATAGGCGTAACCAATATTGACCAGCTTGGGATCTATTAAAGTCAGGTATCGCTTCCGTCGGCCCAACTCCAGCTATTACTAGAGGCCTGTTATAAATGTAGGAATCAGCAACGTCCATTACACTTTTAGCGTTCAGGTGCGACAATTCCTCGTACATGCTAGATAACTGAGTTCGCTCGTTCTTCAGCATAAATTGCGCGCCGATATCATAACTAGAATTGATCGCGCCGTCCACACGTTTCGCCAATTCCAACTTAGTTGCACAAATAGCTCGATCAATGTCTCCTCTACACATAGTGTTGCATAAACTCATCCATACACTCTGTATATTGTAAATCATATCTTCGATAGCCATCTTTGGCGCTACAAAGTACACTCCCCACAGACCGACGTCGCTGTAAGCTATGTAGAAAGATTCGAACTTCTCACATAAATTAGCGGACGCGGCTGCCTGTGCCAAGTACGCTGCATGCCTATCTTTACCACCTTGACTCTTATCCCATGCGCCGACCAGGTTTTTGGCGACCAGGAGTGGATAGTAATCGAAACTCTTCATACCCGGTGCTTCCACAGCGTAAGCGACGTGGGCAAAAGGCATGGAATCGTCACGATACAGCACTCGGCCAGAAGTAAAACGCCGAGGCCCGAACGCTGCTTCGTCACCTTCACATACCATGTTCCCGAAGTACTGGCAGGCAGCTTGTGAGATACTTGAATGGGACACACCACCGGATGTCGCCAAAAGCAGTCGCAAAGGATGGTAATTGTTCTTCATGTAAAAAAACGCGCAGTCTCGATTAAATCTTTTCACATTCCTCGAAGGGCCGACTACAGATTGGGCGAGCGTTGTCCCTTGAAACGCAGCCTTGTGTAAGTAGTCGAACATAACAGCTTTTGGGTTGCGGTCGAGGTCTACCATTTCTTGTACGACATTTTGCCTCTCACAGTCCATTTCTTGGTCAGATAGTTCTAATTCGGTGACGATTTTTGCTAAGATGGCGACAACATCGCTAGCACGGTCACTTGGGCATAAAGCATTGAACACTTGAAATTCTCTTTCAGTAGCAGCGCTCATCTTTGCCCCTATGTCATTGAGATATTTATCTATAGCATCTCGGTTCATTGTACAAAAGCCTCTATATGCCATGTGTTCTATGAAATGGGATATTCCGTTAGTATCATGATTTTCAAACCTTGGTCCGACTCTTGCAAACAGACTAACGCAAGCTAAAGGACTCGACGTTTCTTCAGTGGCTACTTGGAGGCCGTTGGGTAACTCCGATTTAATGATATTGGTATTTTTGGAAACATAACGTTTATGATAACGAAATGAATTGTTGGCGATTAGAATATTCCGCAATGTCTTCATTATTTGTCTTTGGTTATATTAAAATATATGAAACGTGCGATGTGACGCAAAAATTGACAATTTTAAAGTTGTAGAAACACATCAATATTTACAGAGTACATTAAACTGTAAACAAATCCTTTTTGAAGTTAACGCCATGAATTGGCATAATGCAAAAATATAAATCCAATGACACGACTCAGCGCAGTTAGTTTAAGCTAAAGGTTATTATACCAACTGCGTTAGAAGATGTGGAGGTTCTCTTTTAGAATTGGTACTTTTTGGATTCCAAAACAAAGCTACTGCAGATGTGTTACGCCCGCACTAACCCACGTTTATGAGTCCGCGCCAATAAATTGTAGCTTGTATCCCTCTGGCTTAATTCTGGCTAACGAAGAGAGGGATTGCCAGAATGCGTGTATCTCTCTAACGTTCGATGCCGGTTCTAGATACGAATTACCTCAAGAGAACGGCGTCACACACTTTTTTGAACACCTATGCTTTCGAGGGACGAAGAAGAGATCAAAAACAAATATCGAATGCGAAATGAATGAGATCGGGGGAAAGTTCAACTGTTACACCACCCGCGAGATGATCGGTTTCAGCGCGGAGTGTCTATCTGAACACATCCCCAAGGCCTTAGACCTTCTAACCGATTGCATCTTCAATAACTCTCTGTCGAACACGGAAATTGAACTGCAGAAGGGTGTGATATATCAAGAAATGCTCGATCACGACAGGGACTCCGAGTGCGTAGTATTCGACTATCTCCACACCGCGGCCTTCCATGGAATTGGGCTGGCCCAAACCGTCATGGGACCGTCGTACAACCTCTACAACTTTAACGCGACTCTCATATCCAAGTACATAGAGAGGTGGCTGGTGCCGGATAGAATGGTTTTCACATGCGTCGGGCCCCTGAAACAAGAGCAGGTGTGTAACTTGGCGAATATGTATTTGAACAGAGATGGCGCTTCACCTGGCTTTTCCCGGCAATATCGGTTTACAGCTGGTGACATCCGCTACAGGGATGATTCGATGCAAGTGGCACACGTTGCTTTGGCTCTAGAGGCTCCAGCGTTTCACCACCCCGATTACCTGCCGCTGCTGGTAGCGGCTACTGCTATAGGATCCTGGGACAGGTCCCAGCCCGGGGGGAATCACTCGACGTACTTCGCTCAAGCAAGTGCTACGGGCATATGCAACTCCTTCGAGGCATTCTACATAGCATACAGAGACACGGGCTTGTGGGGAATTGAATTTGTGTCTCCAAGAATGCAGGTGGACGATGCGCGAGAAATAATCCAGGGCGAATGGATGAAGCTGTGTACGACAGTGACGGACTCCGAATTAATAAAGGTCAAGCAGCAGTTGAAGTGGAAGATATTGAAACAAAATGAAACCGCGGCCGGTGCGTGCCTGGATATCGCTAAATGGATCTTCTACACAAAATATGCGCCCACGATACAAGAGAAGTTTAAAGCGATCGATCAGCTGGTGGCGGACGATGTGCGGCGAGTGTGCTATGACTATATATATGACAAATGCCCGGCTGTTGTTGCGGTGGGTGCGACAGAAGCTCTTCAAATCCACAGCAGAATGAGAGGCGGCATGTATTGGTTGAGACTTTAAGGAATGTTAAAAAACGTAATTTTTGAGTATATAATATGAGCGACAGATATTTAATTATCATACATATAACGAGACTATGGGAAAAATAAAAACAACGTTTACAAATTTATAATTTATTGTTTTAAGTAAAGCTAATGTAAAAATATTATAAACCAATTTGAGTATAACCAAGAGTACATCGATAAAAATGTGAGAACACGACTAAATAAAATATCGTTACAGACACACTTAAAACTTCGAAATGTATATAATAAAATGTTCACATTACTATTATTGAAAATGGCAAAGCATAATAATTCATTATTATTGGAAATCATATAATATAATCTTCGGATAACACTATGTCAAAATGGTTAAAATAAAATTAGAGAGCGCATATATGCAATAAGAAAATGCAAAATAAATTCGTTGCCTGCGTAACTTAAAACCTATTGTAAGAAGCCTTAGCGAAGTCAATTTCCACTAAACCTGTGCCAAAATCAAGCCAACTTCTTCATACATCATTTCATGTTTATGTATTATCATAGTAATATTGGGGCCGAAGCATTGACATACATAATGTATTTTAACGCAGTTTGAATTACACTTTACAATTTCTAACAGTCACTACATTACATGGATCTTCACGTTTCGTTTATCAAATCAAAGACACTACACATCACAATTCCTAATGCCTTGGGCCTAATCATTTTCACTTCACGATTACAACCGAGTCGCGCTAATATAAATTCGTCCCGAGTTTTAAACACAATCGTGTTCGAAGCGCTCGGGAGTGTCAGACGGCACTAACCCCTAGACCAATTTCACAGTTAGGGGTACAGTTTACTGATAGCTTCACTAACAATTTTTACAACAGCAGCCTTTAATTTTAAGAGATTCCATCTCCTCGGACGATATATATCACCTCACAAAGCTCATTGGACCAAATTTTCAATTAACACTGGCCTAAATTCACGTTGAGCCACCAAACCAAGCATTCGTAGCCGACTGCTAGTCTATAAAATCCATTATTCGAGTATAGTATAAGAGTTAGAACAAACCACTTTGGTAACCCAAACATTTAAAATTCATACTAAAAAATCTTTCTTATGGTATGCTATATATACTCATTGTAATCTTACTTTTATGTATATTATTATGCATTGTGTTAAGTGCAAATCTCTTTTCATCGATTACACGTAGAGCCTACAACAACGTGTATTGTAAACTGCACGTTCTTATTTTAATTTAATTTTAATTTTAAAACTATAGAATGTATTTAAAAGCTTACAGTATTGGACTTTAAATATCGAGGCTACCATTTTATGTGCTTTAAAATTAACGACAAATCTTGTCAAATGAAACAGATAATCAGCTTTTAAGCAAAGGGACAAACATTTTAAAATGCTGGTAAACAGACGTCAGTACCGTTCGCTCAACTAAGAAAAAAGTTACCCTGATGAAAACTAATCTTAATGTATGTCCTTAACGATACAATTATTAGATACGTAGAGATACTATACTAGTCGAGACTTATATATATATGGCGACAGAGAAATTGACAGACAATACAATTGTTAAATACGTGAGTATCACGGAAACCAATGTGAAGTCTGGGCAAGGATTTATTTATAATAAATATGAAATTAAAACACGTACTTAAACAAAACACTTTAACGGTTTAAAACGCGATGTATGTTAGTTGAGCTTATTTGAAAATTATTTTCAAAATTGTCGTCATCGAAACGTCGGGCCGAATACATCGCGTTTCAAAGCGTTATAGTGTTTTATTTAAATGTGTACTACTCGCGTAAACATCTGACAGTATTGAAAACACGTATTCAGTTGAATACATTCTGTCTGGGAACATATTTCTCTTCAAAATACTGAAATAATTAGAGCCGCATTTTAGATTGTTCTGTGATACTGCGCGTTATTTCCTTATTAGCACGTCCAAGACAGTGTGATTATTTATAGTATAAAATACCTTAATACTTAAGACTACATTAATCTAATTTGTCATGGATAAGAACCAGTTAAATAGACGAGTAAAATATTTGAGCACTTACGTTACATCGTTAAACTTTACAAGGTCGTAGTGACGAGAATGTGTTAAACCGTAACTAACTATTTTACAACCTACAAGATTATATTTGGTTACTGGTTAATGCAGCTGGCTCCGTTCTAGAGGCGATAGGTTTTTACGTTTTGAAAATTTGGCACTTTATAATTTTTGTACTATGGTATCAGTGACACGGAGCCAACGAGGCAAACAATATAGTGATACAGACAGCTACCAACCAAATAATATTATACTGAGTATTAAAACACACGAAGTATTAATATTGAAAATCAATCTGTTTGTGTAACCGAATTATTGCAACGGATCTGAAAGCTGACTGCGGTCACACGCGGATGTTGTTAGCTGACAGTTTAGTTTAGTTGCCCTATCAATGACGGAGAACGAAAACTTCTAATTTAAAAAAAATGTAAAGTGCCCTAAGTGCGGCAACATTAGACCTCCGTAATACATTTGAACTCAACATCTCATAAGTTACAAAATAAAGAGCATTGGTATATAAAAAATTTGGTAAAAAAACAACACATAATACTAACCTATGATACAGCTACCGAGTATGGAATGTCACTTACATAAAAATCTCATTGATTATACATCTAAAACATATGACAGCTTACTCTACGAGTACTTAGTATAAATATTGATCATGTTAAAACTTACAGTATATCAGGTTGATTATGCAATCTTAAGACTAATGGAATGTAAAGATAGAATTTCGACATCGTAAAATCGGTATGTTAGTTCATATATCCCTTACAATTAATGGTTAGAAATACCCAAACCTTTTTAAAAAATATATAAATTTTGAAAATAAAAATCATTAAAATTTAAAATTATATCGAATGATTTTTATTGTACTTATGTTTAAAATATTCATTTTGTTTAAAACGCTTCGCCTCGCCAAGAATCGCGCGGGGCGAGATCTAAAACCAGTCACAACATCTCTATGAGCTCTAACCGCTTGTTCTGGGCCTACAGCGGTCTCAGAAAGCCTTATAAAAAGTGATGTGAGAAAAGGACGGCATTATGTCGTAACGACAAACGAAAGAATCCACATCGCATAGCTATCTCTTTCTAACCGATCACCTCGACAGTTATAGAGCGAACTCTAGTTCGTTCACTTTAGATTACGATGGGATGAATCTTTAAGAAATTAAAGCTAATTCTGGTAAAGTACTAGAAATAAATCCGCGACCATTACCAATCGGTCACAAAAGTTGTACTCAAACGAAATGGCAATTTTAGTCGTACTCCATGAATACGACGGAATGGAATGTATCGGGTCCGATAACTAATTAAAACTAACCTGTCCCGGTGGGCACGAGTGACAAATAGCAAAATTATCCGGTTTTTTAAATGAAATTGAAAAGTACCGTTTAAATAAAACACTAACAGTTAAAAACGCTATACAATTAATTTAACTTATTTAGAAATTATCTCTGGCTGCAAAACATCCGAAACGTCGGGCCGCAGCTAAAATAACTTCCAAATAAGCTTAACTAATACATATCGCGTTTAAAAACGTTAAAGTGTTTTATCTAAATGTGTACTACTCGCGTATACTACACAGTATGTGAAAAGTTCCATTTCAAAATCACCCGTGCACACACTTACACCACAATTACGGAAAGTACAGATTGATCGGATCAAGTAAATAATATTAACAATTAAATTAAACAGTCATTAAAATGAGGTACATAATATAAAATCGACTTATAATATTCCGGTTTACTGATAATATAAAGAATTCGTAAATTTGTAGGGCTTCGATTGTAATACTAACATAAAACTTACCAAAACTAAATAAAGCATGTTTACAAACTGAATATTAAACCACAATATTTTGTACTGTGAGGTTATGCTTTACCTGTTAACTATGATAATTTCGCGTAAGACTCGACGTTCGTCCTAATAATTTTGTACATTGTACTAATGGCAACTTACATAAACTAATACATTTTCGAGCTGCCCTGTTCATCTTGTACTTACAATTGTACAATCGTTACAAAATAAATTGTGTAAAAAACTTGAGTGTAGAATATATAAAGAATTTAAAACAGAGAGCTAAAAAATATGTCATGATTACAATTAATCGCTTACACTTAATTGGTATTCGGTTTAAAATTCAAAGCGTTTTTACAACTAAAAATTCACTTTGATACTTACACCTGTATATAATATAACGTAAAACCGATGTAAATTATATATTCTATATTTTTGTTCAAGTCAGTCTTTGGAACGTGTGTGGTGGAATGTATAATTGAAAAAAAATATATACATATACTCAACATAACTTTGGTTATGAAAAACGGTCTAAACATGATTTAGATGTCTATGATTTACCATCTATTTTTAAAATCGTCTTCATTTAGAAATATTTAAAAAACATATAATAATCAATGATGTAGAAAATGATTAAAAATCAATCTCGCATGAGAGATATCGTCAAGTGTATAAAAGTGTGATGTTAAAGTCTAGTCTACTAGTCTGTTTTGAAACAAAAGACCATGTTCTTCCAAGTGCAGTGTTGAGTGAATATGCGTGCCAGTTCAACGGGGTCGACTAAATCGTCGTCGATACGGGGGTTAGGCCTTAATCATACGGCCTCGAGATTTGCTTCGGACTTCGGAGCCGGCTTCGGTTGTTCAGCGCCTTCGGGAACCGGCGGGAACTGGTTCGCCTCGGCGGCGGCCGTAGTCGCCGTGTAACTGAAAAGTAAAGAGAAACGATTTAAATTAAGAACTACAGAAATCACAAATTTTGTTGAAAGCACTTCGTAGCACATCGTAGGGACGCGTTGCTAAATAAAAAAAATACTTCGCAATAAAACCGTGTATAATATTAACAGCACCTTTAATTTTAAAATTGAATAAAATATTGGAAACACAATAATAATTAATAGAGCAATTTTTAATTACGAAACTCAAACGAAGCTCTTCTGTTTCAAGCTAAGCTTTTATAAAGAAGGTGCCAAAAGTGATCCACTACGCCACTAACGCCACAAATTTTCATTTTCCAAAATATTTATTGTTCTGCAAAGTTTGTGTCACAATACCCGCGTACACTATGATTCTAAATACACATCAACTACCGTTTCCGTGTCTTATGAGTTTAAATGAAATAGTTTGTATTGAAAATTTACAACACAAAACAGAAAGATAAAGAGAAGGAGTAATGTCCACTAGAGGAAGAACCGAAGAAAAAAAGATAGCTTTGTCTGTGTTGCCAGTTTTCCTTTTTTATTACTTCGCCGTTATTAGGGGACTGAAAAACATTATTCTAAACACAGAATTACACAATAATACGCCCTCTGATTAACACGCAAGCAATATGATTTTAGAAAACTTTATTATTTTTCACATGATGGCCTTATACAAATAAAAATAGATCCAACCTATCGATACACGCACTATTATGATATTTGGAAAAAGTCAAAGCATTTAGTAGATAGTGAATACGTACGCATATAGAATTTTCACGGTATTCACGTCGAACAGCATTTTTAAACACAGCGAGATCGCACTTTTCAAAACACAATAGCCCAACGCCGTTGGCAAACAGATAGAGAAACACAGAGGCGCATTTATCTGCGCGGATCAATATTGCATCCGAGAACCAGTTGTCCCGGGCCAGACTATTCGCTTGTTGGTTTCGACACACGAAATTGATCTTTACCTGGGCGGCATACAATATAAATTTCCTTGCACCAATTGAACATATTGGGGTAAGGGTTGACGCAATAGCAGCGCGCAGATCGATGTTGTACACAATAATTGAATGTATATGGCATCTCCAGACACGCTCGCGGCTATAGATAATATTAAATATATGAACAAGGGATTAGTGCGTCGGAGGGCTATTCTGGCCGTCGGATAAGTCGACTGACTTTATAATTAAATTTCTTTTTACTCTTCTTTTTATAAGTATATTTCGCTAAAAGCAAACTACCTCGACCGAAGTTACACAATTCCCAGAAATCGAACTAAGCACAACACAGGACATATATGGAACGTTCTATTCAGGGACAATAATGTTTACGTTTATATTTCATTTATAATTGCCTTATACTATTTATAATGGAATTTTAAAATTAAATAATGTCTCTTAAGAAAGGAACTAACAAAATTCTTTAAATCGTTAGCGAACACTCTCGCTTGATCTTACGAGTAAGATTAGATATTCAAAGCCAAAATAGGTCGGCAGCTTTATATAGCTGGGGTATGTTACCTACCATCAAGTGTGAATCTCATGCTTGTCTATCCTCCTCTATTACGATAAAAGTAAATCGCTTTCAAGCAAATCTCATCGAATCAAAAATTCGCAAAGCCAAAATATCGTTCGCAAATAAAGCTGACCCAATCATATTTTCCACTAATTGAAATTGGGGATCCTTTTCCCGCATGTGCATTATGTTTCGAACAAATTAGGAAGGGTTCGAATCCCCCAAAGCTTGTATATAACATACAATATGAGCCAGATTTGCGTATTACGTATGAATGTAACATTCGCTTAATTGCTAGATAGAAACACATTTGTACTTGTTTTGACTACTGGCGCTAGTTACTGGCACGCTAGTATAAGCAAACGTTGACACACAGCTTCTTAAATAAACGTCGTTAGATATATGTCAAATGATTGTAAGACAATATTTACTCACTTGTCAATGTCCCGATAATCGTTCAAATTTTCAGTACGCCATTTATTCCCAACCATATTGTGAACGCTAAAGAAAAAAAATAATATTACTTTGCATAATTAAACCTTTCTTTAATACCTATTTTTAAAACACTCCGTGTTACAAGGAAAAAGATATACATTTGGCAACACAAGATTACATATTAACTTGGCGAAGGAGAAGCGGCGAGTTTCTTGCCACTTCTTCTCGTTCGTTATACTCGTTGAGAACTAATAGTAAATGTAAATTTAGAGTTTTTACTGTTTAACTACATTGATGTTCGTTTATATTCCTACGTACATGAATAAATGATTTTAAATATTTTTGACTTTACAACGGATACATTGCTCCGTTTTAAGAATAGATTTTATGTATTCGGGGATTTGAACCCCGGGATTGAGTGACGGAGGTGTCAATCAATATGAGGCTGCTAGAAGCAGAGTGGCCTAATAACAAAAAGCCTGATTTTCAATAAGGAGGAAAATAAAATGCGCAATTAACTTAGGCGAAAATAAATTTAACTGTTATTTGTCTAAAAATTATGTTACCAATTTTGGACTATAAAATTATAAATAACTCAAATCATAAAAAGTGCGGTTAGGCTACTCTGCCTCTAGCGGCCTCATATATAGTTCAACATAGATTGTACAACGCACCTCATCTGATCCCCTTGAGCGCTGAGTTGTGCAAGATAGGCCGCCTGCTTGCGATGATGATACATATGGACGCGGAGGCACGAAGGGTTGCGCATGCGTTTCTGGCATATGTCACACTGCAGCGTGCCCTCTCTCGTGTCGTGCTTGTCGCGGATGTGCACCTTCAGATTGTAGCGGTTCGCGAAGAACCGGTGGCACGACGGACACTTCACGCCACCGCTCTTGCAATTCCAACCTTAGTAAATACACACGTGTGAGTTCAAACCATAAAACACTTATGTTACTGAACTTAATTGTATTTACATGACAATGGCATACTACATTTTGGTGTATAGGTGTAAGATAAAATAAAGATGAGTGCAGATCAGTCAAGACAATTTATGTTTTGTGTTGTAATTAATTTCTATTGTTTTATCTATTTTTACCTATGTCATAAATAAACAATGATGCGCTTGTCTGTAAGTTAAATACTTACAAGCACATCGTTAAATTATTGTAATGGATGTTCTTTTTTCAAATTCCTTAAGTTACTGAGAAAATATCTTTTTATAGACTTGACTAGAGGTTTAGTAAACTCGTTAGTTCTATAACTTAATAAACACGAACAAATATGCATTTATAAATTGAAATTCAGTTGTCTTATTGAATGAACAGTACCTATATAGTTATTTTAGTGACAATAATATATTCAACAATTTATCCCCTTACAATGGTCAACAATTCGTCTTCGCTTCCGTCAAATGAAAAACAATGAGTATTACCTGTTTCCTTAGCAGAGTCTGGCACAACCAAGATATTATGAAACATATCGCTGTCGAAGTCGATCAAGGGTTCACTGAAATGTTGTGTTATCAAATAAAAACGAAAATAAAACAAACACAGGCGAGTGTGCGAGCAACTGAGTGTTACTAAATAAACAATGGGATAAGTGGTCATTGTTTTAATATTCAATGTATAAGTAACAACACACTTTTAAGACTTCTTAAACTTTTGAAATTTTTGAGGCAAACATTCCACCATCATAATTTGAAAAAAGAACAACAAAAAAACAGTCAGCATTAATTTTTACTATCAAATTTTTCTCTAATACATTCATACTAGGCTCCCGTGCGTCTTTATAATCTTAACATAGGAATAAGACGATTTTAATCGATTTCAAAACAATATCTTTCTATACAAAGTTATCTCAAATAACATCCGATCGCTGGAATTATTAAATTTAGCACTTGCTTATTACAAGATTGGAAGCAATTTTAGTGTTGTGAATTTAAAACAAAAACCACCAATTATGAACTAAATGTTATGGATTAATGAAAATAAAATTAAGGTGCTAATTGTGCAATATCTAGCACTAAATAAACTAGAAATGCATGTACTGTAGTAAAAATGGTCTTACCCGGAGCCATCACTGTAAGCTCCTTCGGGGACATAATCACTGTTCTCTGGATGCGATGGGCTGTCGTTGGCTGGGCGTGGCTTCTTTTTACTTGTGTTCGTTTTGTTTGGCGTGTTCTTCATTAATCTAGAAAATAAGAAAAAGTTTTCGGGTCGTTGGTGGAGTGGTAGCGTCTACTATCTAGGTAATAATCAATGAGTCGTGGTTTCCAGCACCACCAGCTCCAACATGTTCGTTTGGAAAACTGGATATTAAATAGGTGTAAGGAATATCGAATGGATGAATTTACGAACCACCGTTTACAAAAGAAAAAGCCGTGAAGTTTAATCGCGTTTCGATTTCAGTCTAGTTTGACGCAAAAGCAAAATAGGACGACGGCGCGTCTTGTCAAGATGTTATATGTCTAGGGTAGCAAAGCAACTTCCTTGTATATCCTGCTTCTCCAGTTGTCAAGAATGTTTGACAATATGTCTATCTTAAATAACAATTCATTAACTTTTAACAATTTTAAACAACAATATATCTTAATAGTTACTATTAGATTAACCTCATCATCTGACAATTATATATATTATGTAAACTGATAACATCAGCAGAACACCATTAGTCTTTCATACAGACTGAGTACATACCGTTTCAAAGGACTTCTAGTAGCTTCTTCTTTCGGAATAAGGGCTGGTAATTCTGACAATAGATCCGTCGAAGAGGTGTCTTCTGGCTGTACCCATTCTGGCATGCTGTCACCAGTTGGCTCGTTAACCTGTGACTTTGGTGTAAAAGAATCTTCCGAAGCTGGTGGTGGTGACTCACTTTTCTGTGGGTACATTTATTTACAGTTAACAGCATAAATATTATACAGGCATAATTGATAATTTGTATTTCTCATTGGTTTAACAAATGAGATTACCTCTCGTCCACTAGTCAGCCCCTTGACTTGTAGTAGTTCCGCGGTGTGAAGGAACCCTGATAGTTCTTGTTGTCGGACATGAACCTCACCTCGGTACATGAATTGTAATAGTTGCTTAAGTTCTTGGTGTGCAACATCTTTGAGAATAACTATAGGATGTTCACACGGATTCATCTGTGAATTAAATAGGTCACTTTTAAATGACTACCCCGTGACTGTCCTCCTCTAACATAAAAGTTTAAAACCCATATAGAGCCCTGCCTGCGATGGGCTTCATGAGATTTAAACCTACTACAAATATATATAGACCATGGTGTAGGACACATAAACATTGGATTTCAGACATTTTATTATATCAACTATTACATAGTTTGATATATTTAAATTAATGTTAGACAAAACTAGAACAGTTTTGTCTAACATTAATTTAAATAACACAATTTCAAGTTCAAACAAATATTTGAGCTAATGTTGAATGACTAGGAAATTATAGTTAAATACATTCAAATTCACAGCTCAGACACATACATTACCTAACTTTTTATACAAAACTGGAAACTGTACTGGCTGTAAAATAATTACACCTAGTATTTTTGTTATATTAAATTGTATATGAATTTAACCATATTAAAGCATTTATAAATTAAAAGAGGAAAGTCACAATTATTATAACTGTTGACATAATTTATTTTAAGTCTAATTTGTTTGTACTATTAACTGGTTTTAGTAAACAATTAACAATGAAATTAAGCTTTGTAATTTAATTTAAAAAACTAATAACTGTAACCATATTAACAGAACAACAATGAGTGATTAATAACATTAATGTAGATACACAAAGATAACACAAAGTAAATGACTAGAATAAACATTGAGCTACATATATTTACATTACATTTAAACATCTATTTGATTGATTTATTGAAAGCTTGTAAATGCATATAATATTATATAGTTTCTTAGAGGAAAACATGAAATTAACAAAGGCATATGAGTCATACCTTAAACAGTTCCTTGAAGTAAGGACTGCAGACTGACAAGATGAGTTTGTGTGCATGGACGTACTGACCACCAGCCGCCAAAGTCACGTCCACAAGATCTTCGCCATCAAGTAGCGCTTGGAACGACTGCGCCAGATTAGCATGGAAATCGTTCCACCGCAGCGAAAACTGCTCGGGCATTGCCATGGCCTGAAAGCATCGCCAAGTGAAATCAGTACTCCCCTTATTAACAACTAACTGTACAGTCCATTACGCGTCCACACAATGAAATTAACACTCACTGAAAAACAATGATAAACAGAAATAACTGCCCACGTACGCGACTACACACACGGCGAATCGAACTTGTTAAACATAGTAACGCAGCCAAACAACAAAACAATATTTACGATGTATTGAGAATATTTATTACTGGCATCGCAATCGATACATGGAAAATAACAAAATGTCGCTTGTTAAATTATAGCTTTGTACTAGTCACAGGTCTAGAAAACCTAGCAGTGGAATTTTGTAAAATTGGAAAATGGTAATACCGAATTTTGCTTACATCGAGTTGACGTGCTTTTATTTTACAATAACTTCTATTTTTTTAAAAGCATGTAATAAAAACTAATTTTATATATTTATATATTACACTTTATCACTTGAACAATATATTTTCTATAAATATTTTTACGTTACTACGAAACAAGTATACTCCCTTTAGATATATATTTTTATAATGGTAACATTTAACTTGTCTATGATTTTATTACAGAATGAAGTTGTCAAACTATCCTAGAGCTTTTCGTCATTGTATTAAGTTGATGATGATTGGTTACTATTTTCTATAGCTAATGTAAATAATTGGTTAAGGTGATGTCAAATCTTACTTATTTCGCTAATGTGTTGCCAGAAAATTATTTATTACCAATAAATGTTACTTCTGGCTCAGAAGTTCTGAGTCCAAAAATATGGCACCTTATTGTAATTGTAAAATCAATTCTACAGTTTTCGCCTAATTATTATGTGAATTATATTATCATTATAAATATTTGTGAAATGTACAAAATATAGCAATACTTTGTTATTAGATAGTTTTATTATTTCTTAATGGTTTGCAAGGTTAAAGCCAACTTTTTGTTAATAATTCTGTAATACAGAGGACAAAAGAATTGGTAAAACGCATCATTCGTAAATATCAAATGTCAATGTCAAATTAAAGTTGAAGTGGTACGTTGGCATGATAGGCACCAGTTTTGTTTTATTTATATTATTACTCGCAAATTATCGTAGTTTTAATTCGACCATGAAAGTTATTAGTTCGTGACTTCAACGGCCCCTCTATGAGGAGTGTCGGTAAATAAGTAAGTGACACTTACTTCGATTAAATAGTAAATTAAATGTTGCGGGGAATTATAAATTATTCAGTATGTTAGGATTCTACATGAAAGAAGAGGCTGATGCTGACAGAGCGCTGTTACTGAAGAAGGTATTTAGTGCAGCTTTTTACGCCTTAGCTTCATTTATGATAACTGTGGTAAATAAGACCGTGCTGACCTCATATGCCTTCCCGTCTTATCAAGTATTAGGCCTTGGACAAATGGTAGCGATAATTATAGTTTTATGGTTCAGCCGTGCTATGAATATCGTTGAATTTCCATCGCTGGACCGTGGAGTTGCACAGCGGATATGGCCCCTACCTGTAATTTATTTGGGCAATATGGCAACTGGACTTGGTGGAACGAAAGAGCTCAGTCTCCCAATGTTCACAGCCTTGCGGCGATTCAGTATTCTCATGACGATGATCTTAGAACGATTTGTACTCGGAATTAAGGCATCCTGGCCAGTCAAAGCTAGTGTTATGGCTATGGTCGGTGGTGCCCTTCTTGCGGCGGCTGATGATGTTACATTTTCCTGGTCCGGATACACTCTTGTTCTTCTCAATGACGGCTTCACCGCAGCTAATGGTGTTTATATGAAGAAAAAATTAGATTCAAAGGAGCTTGGTAAATATGGGCTCATGTTTTACAATGCATTATTCATGATTGCTCCAGCCGCCATTGTGGCTTGGAGCACAGGTGACCTAAAACGCTCAGCAGAATATCAGCATTGGTCGGACACATTGTTTGTCATACAGTTCCTTATGTCCTGTATAATGGGGTTTGTTCTTTCATACAGTGTTATGTTATGTACTCAATACAACAGCGCTTTGACTACAACCATTATTGGTTGTTTGAAGAATATTTTAGTTACATACTTAGGTATGATTATAGGAGGGGACTATGTTTATTCGTGGTTAAATTTTGTCGGCTTAAACATCAGTGTTTTAGCTAGTTTATGGTATACCTTTGTAACATTTAAACGCAAACCAACTTCTTATGCTTTACTGAATGAAGCAAATAGTAAGGTTGATACCGTTTAAGGATGATCAGTGACCAACCAACTTTATGTATTGCTGGTAGATGCCAAAGAGTTGTGGTCGTGAGTTTAAGTAAGATATTGTACCTTTATATTCATTGTGGCCATCAAATTAGTTTTGATTTTTAATGCACATAGTTGTAAATATATGCTTGCCTTTGTATGAGATATGCATTTATTGTATGTTAAGAAGCATTTTATAATAATAGGACGTAAAAAATATTATAGATAGCTATGTATCTTGAATATACTTGTTTTAAAACAGACATTTTAAGTTTCTGTATTCAAAAAGTTTGTTTTAGTACAAAGACAAAACTTCTAGAAGTGTATTGTTGCAAGTCTGGCACACAACTTTCAAACCAAGCATCATTTTTTCTACATCAATATTAGTAAGTAGCCCAGTAAAAGCCATTGTGTGTATAATTTTATATTCACCAGTAATACTGTAGCTAATAAGGAGATAACTTGTTTTAATAATAGGTACTTTAAATGTGTGATCATAGTGGTATTATAATAAAGTGTAGTGAAATAAATTAGTTAAAAAAAATTTGCATGCAAATGAGCAATTTTTATTGTGTTGTTATAAGAATAAAAATTTATTGCACAATTGTAGCCGTAGTAAAGTGTTTTGTTTTTTCATATATTCATTTGATGTAAAAAACAGTAGAATTTTAAGGTATGGAAATTACAATTCCTGTTCGTTTGAATCTTAAAATCAAGGTTTTGTGAAATCTAATTTTTTCTTTATTGCTGTACCATAAAAGTATTTAATACCATATTATATTGTGTCTCTATCTTTACTTCCATTGATAAATGATAATTGTAACACGATAAGTCGTTTATTACTAATTGGAATGTTAAATTGTGTTTTGCATGATGGTTCCCATGTGCTGTTTTTGTTTTAAATATGAACAAACCTTTTGATAAATTTAAGCAAATTAGGTTCCTAGTTAGAATTATTTATAAGCAATACAGATAACTGATATATATGCCCCTAATGATTTTGAAATGTGGTAAATGTTTGGATCGGTCGCTTAAAATAAAAAAATGTTTTAGCCATTACTGATTACACTATCTATGAAACATGTACGCGGCGAAAGCGATCTAGTCATAAAATCCTTTTTAACTTATTACACCAGTTACGAGCACATTTATCAATTATCACAAGTTATTTTCATATTTTGTATAGTTGTATACCTCCGCCAATAGTTGTAGCGATGCTACTCTTTCGCTAGTTATAGTAAGCCGAGTTTCACTCGCAAATTTTGTGGCATAATAATGTAAACGCTTTTGTTAAAACCTTATCATTTTTGTTAGTATCGTTATTTTCGGGCAAAGGGTATTAATTAATCTCGGTAATATTTTATCAATGTCCTCTGTCATATTGGTAAGATTTTACTGTTTCCTGTTTTATCACTAGTTTTGTAAGATTTTATTTACAATAAATTATTAATATAATTATTATGCTTAAGTGTTTTATTTTAACAATCAAAGGGCTGTCAAATTGAAAGATTTTGTGGTATTGAAAAGTAGTGAGACCTCTTCCTTTGGCGAAACGCGATACTTGCGGTGGTGCAGTGCTCAGATGACTAATTAGTAATTCGCACAGGTTATTGAAACAGATTTTGTATATAATATAAAGAAGTCCTATACGATTAATGATTGATATACCTCATCTCTAGTCACAGTTCTTCACCACAAACGAAAACCAAAACGAGCCTATTTACTCCTAAGTACTCTACGTAATATATGCTACGTCTTCTCCTTAAAGGAGGCAACATTTTATTTAAACCTTTAGGTGTGTTGCACCATTGTCTCAGTAATAGGTATAAGTGTACTAGGAAACACGAACAAACAAATTAAAAAAAAAAAACAAACAAGACATATTCTATTTACATTTCAATTAGCTAAGCATCGGTAAAGAGAAATTAGTGAAATATATCAATCAGTGAATCTTATTTGGTTTACGTAGAGCAAAATTAAATAATACTTTTTTGTAAATACGATCTAGCTGTGTCAAATAAAAAAAAGGAATAGTTCATTTATTAAATAACCTAAAGTTGAGTGTATATAAAGACTAAAAAAAATAAATTAATAGTATCTCTCTGCACATTGTACATGATAACCAAAGTATAATATTGCAAAAAAAATTACAAAAACTATATTTGGTTGCATCATTGGTTAACGATCACTCATGCCGCTGTACCTAAACATCTATACTATAGCCTTCACAAAACAACACAAGACGGCTTAAGGACACTTATTACCTACAAGGTATCTAATATCCGGCCGCCTTTATTTAAATTCGATTGTCCGCGACGAAAGCACAGTAAAAATAAAACATTTATGAAATAGACCAGAATAAATTTAATCTAGGATGCTTCATAATTACATTTTTAATGAGTATATGGCTTGCATAAAACATGCGGTAGGTGTGCCTACATAGCGAGTGTGTACATATGAGAGCGTCTGTCGCCATCATTTTTTGTTTTTCCCTGCAAACGAGTGTCGTGCTCCATTTTCGTGAGCCACTGATAAAGCGCTTCGTGCGAAGCCAGATAATTTTATACTTTACGGGTCAGTAATAAGGCATACGTAATTTTTTTGTGTTGGAAAAATGTCGCAGCACTTCAGGACTAAGCCTGAAACCTTTTTTTCTACTATTTTAGACGAGAACGTGTCGGCGGAACGCCGAAAGACTTATTATTTTCATACATTTATAACTTACAGCACAAGCTAGCGGTACCTATCAGTAACAAATTCCCAGTACCTAAAGAACAATGAAAATGGATTAGGTTCATTATTATCGGAAGTAATACACAAGTCTTAATTATCAGTAGTTTATTACATAAATTATAGCCAAGCTTCCGTTGTTCGTACCTAATCAAATTTTAAAAAATGTAAATGCCTAATTTAATACTTTTAATTAAATTATTTCTGTATACTATGTAAACAGGGTGTGACCATCGTCTATACATCAGAACTAAACACGGTTCGAAATATAAACTCGGACTGAGAATGGTCAAAAATATGTAACAACTTTCCGTGGTTTGAAAAATATAAGACGACGTACCCCTAATTCTACATATAAAAAATCTTATAAATAAATCTAAACATCACGCTATGAATTAGAATTAATTAGGCTATGATTGGTGTTCTACATTTAAACTATTTCATCATCATCGTCATCGTAATAAATGATAATACATTTAGCTCTACATTAACGCGCACAAGCAATATTATAACTAAGTCCTTACTAAGGTACAAATATGGCTTCAAACCTTACAACACATGTAAAGTTTAGGACATAAAATATATATCAATAACCGGTAGAAATGCGTCACCAGACTCGTCGTTTAATTGTAATGTGAATGTAAAAATAAAGACAGGCTAAGGCAATGGCTTAGGTCGGTTTCGCATGCTTCGTTTGTGAATTTATTGGAAAGTCACTGATTTGTTGTAGAAAGAAAGAGATCCAGTTAGGATGCACGACAGATTCGCACTGCCTTAACCTTCATCTTACACGCTTAGAGTTATATACAAAAATTACGAACTACAGGCTTGACGCTTTTCTTTAAGTACTCAATCGTCTCTCTGATAATAATCAATCAATTGTAATTATTACTACACTGGACATGGAAATAGTATACATACAATTTAAGAATATGAATCGTTTTATATACTATGAATAGAAATTACTTTACATTTTCTAAGAGGCGTATTTATTGCTATAGGCCATTAAATGCATAAAAATCAAAATTCTTTAGATGGAGTATTGTTTTTTATAATTAACATACAAAATTCGAGCTATGTTCGAGAACTTTCACATTGACCATGAATTAAAAATTTACTATTATACAAAAGTCAAAATATTTCTACCTATCTGGATGAATCCAAAATGTTTGTAAATAGTTTGAATTTTTATATTTCTCTATGAGTATATCATGTTGTGAGTTTGTATACATTTTTGTAAACGTTGCATTATTAGACGAAAGGTAATTTAACAAATTGTAACGTCGTTTATCGGCTTAATAAAATCGTATTGCACTACACTTAAATAAATCTAATTATTACATACTGTACTAACATAACATTACAATATCGAAACAAAATGACGTGGACGCTAATAATTTTCCATTGAGGACATATTGAAAATGTAATAAGAAAACACGGTTCATATTGTTATTGGTACATCTGGACAAATAAATAGACAAGCCAATGGAAGACCCTAATACATTACACTATGGTTTTAAATGATATAAACCAAAAATATAACTTTGACTCAATACAGGCACACAATGAAAGAAGTCCTGTGCTGTAAGACACGAGTTGTAAACAAAAACCGTGCTTACCTTTCTGCTTGTCTTTTCTGAAACTTTCAAGAATCGTGAATGGAACTTGGGTTTTGTATATGTTATGAAAGAAAATACGAAAGATAAGTGCTATCTGGGTTTTGTCCTATAAAATCAGGCGGACAGAAAAATATTTAAGACACAATAACACATGCAGTAAATACATGTCAACTGTTAAATTTAGGATTCGTTAATATATCAGACCACAATATGGCAAGACCTTAATCTCTTTATCATTTTAGATTTAACATAGTTTACAAAAAGGAGAACAAAAAAAAATAAGTAATACAGGTTGGTAAAACAATGTCTTTGCGTCCCATTTCTAAAGAAACAGTGCAAGTGTCTTGTATAAATATAATTACAGTTATGTATGTGTATATTACGGGATCAATTGGAGTATAAAGATTTTTTACAAAAAAACATGGCATACTATATACCTACAGCGATATAGTATACCTATAGCGATTTATAAAAAAGAATATAGCAGCCGTTGAAATAATACGGAATAGACAAATTAAATCTAAAAATCGCACAGTGATTCGCTTTGGGCAATCATATTCAATCGCTAAGCTATTACTTATGGCTGACCCTAAATAGATCATGAAGCAGTAAATATTCATAAAACTTATATTAAACAAATACCACCACAAGCCATGTCAGGCGAAGCTCTTAAAACTATATTGGCAGTATAATGTTCCTCCATCTATTTCTAATGTTTTTGTTGTAAAAATTATTACAAATATACCATCAATTTTTCTTTTAATCTATATTACAACATTGTAATGCATAACCAAATAATGGTACATGGTCTTCAGGTGTTATTGATCAAACTTATGTTAAACATAACATTTAAAGTTTATTGTGTACAACAAAATTAAGTATATTATATAAATAAAATCAAGTAGGAATATAATATAATGCCGGAAATATTGATTGTGTAAAATTATTTTAAAGGAGAGAAAGAGGCAAAAACTAATATGAGGTACACAAACATAGTACTAAATAACTTTTCAATGACACTTTGATGAATGCTCTTAGTAAATGTTGGATTTTATTGTACACAGCCTATTTGTAACAGCATATGTTTGGGTATTTAACACTTTAATTGAAGTAAGTTACACTAATATATCAGCCTTATATACAAGCGAAAAAATATAAAATATAATGATAAAAAAAAGTACAACAAAATAAAAGCACTGTTGGCAAGTATAATATGTTAATTAAGTACTTCAATTGAATCACAATGTGTATTTTAAGAGGCAGGTTTCCACATTTAAGTATAAATAACAGAATTGTTGCGATTACAAACTGTTATATAATATATAGACACTTATGGCATTTGCTCTTATTCAAGGGCTTGTTATAATATAGTAATAGATTCCACTTACGCCAAAATGCACACCAGAATAGTGAAATTTAGCTACCTACAATTAGATTATATAATTTCTTACAACTGCCATCGGAATGTAGATAAATTGATACATCTTTTCTTAACTTAGTTATTTTATAAATATCAAAATAAAATCTCCAAAAACATTTTTTCTATAATTTTTTTACACTGACAAATATAAAATCTTAAAACATAAATTTTATACAAAATAAGATCACAAATTAGTGTTTCAGTTATAATATTAATGTTATTTTTACCTTCTGTCAATTTTCCTATAGGGTTATTATAATAATAAATAATAATTAGTGTTATGGCCTTGAATTCGTTGTTTTTGAAGACGGCAGCTTCATTTACCCCAGAAATTTAAAAAGGTCCCTAGGTAATAGGCCGTAATAAAAAGATGCAGTGTTGCACTTACAGTTCAAGAAATATTATAATAACCAAATAATTTATACCACATCTCCATCAGACATTAAGTGAATTCAACTCTATTCCTAGGACAGTTTTTTTTAGAAAAATATACAAAATGCGTTACTTTAATATAATCACTGTGTTTAATCACATGTTTTCACTGCCAAATTGAGTATCAATATTGAAAAACACTGCATTTTCAGTTTTTAAACAAGAAAGCCATACGGCCCACTCACACGAATTTGGGCGCGCATGCTTTGTACACTATTCATAATTTTCTTTTGATGACCCACCAAGGTAACTCCTAAGGAAGCTAATTGGTGAACTGTGAGATCCACCACAGCATTCATGTCTGTTATACCAGCTGCTCGGAATTTTTCAATATATCTCGACATTTTGATGCACTCCAACCATTCTTCTACGGAGGAAAATTGGATCAGGTCAGGTGTGTCTCCAGCCAAAGGATCGGTTGATCTGTTTTGGGCAATTTTCCTTAAAGTGTCTGGGCAACGTATAAGTTTATCCAATGTCTTCACAATGCTAACAAATGTTGGCCGATGAGTGCGTTCCTTCTGCCAACAGTCTAGCATGAGTTGATAAACTGCCTCTGGGCAATCCATCGGTGCTGGTAAACGGTAGCCTTTTTCTATTGACTTAATTACATCCTGGTTGCTCCAGTTCCAGTATGGTCGTTCACCAAAGCTCATCACTTCCCAGCAAACAATGCCCATTGACCAAACATCACTGGCTGATGTGAATTTTCTAAATGCTATCGCTTCAGGAGCCGTCCATCGCACTGGAATTTTGCCTCCCCGCGTGGTATAGGCTCCATCGGCTGTTGACTCAATTTCTCGCGATAAGCCAAAATCTGCTATTTTACAGACTAATTGCGAGTTTACCAATACATTTCGCGCCGCAAGATCGCGATGTATGTAATTCATTTCAGATAAATACTGCATACCGGTTGCTATTCCTCGTAGCATTCCGACTAACTGAAGTACTCTGAACTTACCGTCGTTCGCCCGCAAGAATGTGTCTAATGAACCGTTTTCCATAAATTCAGTTATAATCATGATTGGATTGCATTTTGTTACAACACCTTGCAAAAATATAACATTGGGGTGTTCAAACTGGCCCATAATAGATGCTTCTGCCAGGAAGTCTCTTCTAGCTCTCTCAGTCGATCCAGGTTTGAGAGTTTTTATTGCGACATCTATTTCTTGTCCACAAGCAGGCAGTTTTAGCTTACCTCGACAAACATCGCCAAATTCTCCTCCTCCGATAATCGCCTCTATTGTAATGCATGAAGCGTCTATTTCGCGTGCAAATTCTCTAACAGCTTGATTTGGATCTTCATATGTGTGGGGATCAATGTAAGTTCTTGACCCTGTCCCAGCAAAAAGTGGAGTTGTTGCATTACTGCTAGTTTTTGTTGGTCTGTCTGGCCCAGTGTAAACTTCCCCATTTCGATAGTTAAGCGCGTTACAATCACTTGGCTGCTTCTTATCACATTCATCATCAGCACGAGATCTCAAAAATAGTACTGTAGCAATAATAGCCACAACTGATAGCACAACCACTGCTACCATCACACCAGCCACTAAACGAACCCGTGCTCCTTCTTCTTCACTAACAACTAAAGTTGGTTCCAGACCAGCTCCAGTTCGAGCATAGACAATACCACTTAACTCTCCCCAGCCACGCTTCATTTTAGCTCTCACTCTAATCCCATATTCAGTGTCTCTTTTTAAACCAGCAATTATAACATGGGGTTCTTTTGTTATTCTAACAGTGACATTTGCACTTCTTTCATTGTTATCTTTTGGGAAGCATTTGACTTCATAACTTTCAATTGTATCATCTGGATCGGTGACATCTATGGGTGGAGGGTTCCAGGCAAGAGACAACTTATCATTTTCTACACTGACTATTCTCAACTTCGATACAACACTCACAACAGTTGCTTCTGTAATAGCAGTTATTTCTACTTTCTTCGGAGAATCACCGGTTAATTCTGTCACACCATTAACAGCAAGGACTTGAAATTTGTACTCAGTGACAGGGTCTAGACCCATGACAGTCACTCTGGTATGATTCAAACCTATAGAAGATGGTCTGTATTCTACATTAGGCCCGCAGTTGATGCAATGAACTTCATAGGTGACATCACTGCGACCTCCAGTCTTACGTGGTGGCTGCCATGCTAATGATATTGAGAACTGGTCAGCAAATGTAACCGTTAAGTTGTCAGGTGCTGAAGGTGGTTGGGTGCAAGGTACATTCTTTGGGTCTTTCTTAGCACGGAAGAAACCAGGTATACACTTGCATTCAAGTGAAGCAACAACTGTGGTTTCAGAGTAATCTGGACATGGCATGCATGCGTCATCTCCGGTGTGAGATTTGAATTTTCCAGGTGCACATTCAGTGCAGACTTGGTTTGTATGGTCGGGTTCATATCCACCCTTACATTTGCACGAACCACTTGGCAATGTCCATTTTCCATCTCCTTTGCATAAGTAAACCGGTGGAGTTTCACCTGGTGCTGTCTCAGCATTTTCCACACAAGTTCCATTCGCTTGTTCTATAACTGTCACTTCACGGCCTGTTGGTGTGGCCGGAAATTTTGCAAAATTTATTGTAACTTGTGGGCATGTGATATAATAAACTTTAACTGCCAAAATGGAAATGCATGCACCTTGGTCTCGAAATGCTATATACACACCCCTCTTTGTGACTGCTATGCTCTTGACCTCTGTATTGATATCAACTTCTGAGTTAGTGTTAAATCTGCCTTCTCCAGCTGCTATTCTACCAACTAGCTTGTAACTTTCTGGTTCCCATGGTGGCTGTTCGCGAGTAGCAACATCGAACTCGTAATACAACAAACTGAAGGTTTCCTTGCAACTCAATGCGTTTCCCGGAAATAAAGAACAATCGCGAATCGTAAAATTAATCTCGATGTATATACGATTAGCGTTTCGTCTCTCGATAAAAGGTGTCCATAACCAATTATTTACGTTATGGTGTGCGACATCACAAACTACGTACGATCGCCAGTTAATATGCTTCTCAAAATTAGTGTATGATTCTTCAAGCCATCCGGGCGTGCTGGCCTGTGCCCCATATGGATACCGCGTCCAACCCAAAGTATTCTCAGTTGTTGTATCGAGGAGCATTACTTGATCGCCCCGAACGCTAATAGTAGCGATTACTGCGGTCGCCACCGCTATGCGAAACCACATCATCTCGACGACATAACAATAGAAACACGAAGAATGGCAAATATTACATCAAAAACGAAAATTCACGAAAATCCAACTACATAATAATGTCCTAATCACTATTTTAAGATTGGTTAGTCTTCGTATGAACACTTCACTTTGTCGAGAATAAAAGACGAGACGGCCCCGTCATTTCGCTATAGCGTTGTTTTGTAGGACACCGCGATTCTCTGAGTCCACTTTCATTGTTTTACACGAGAAATACACTTTAGTATCTTAAGATTTGTTTTATATTTACACTGCACCACAATGAAACTGTTTCAAGTGAAATTTTGCATTTTTAATTTTATATTGATCCCATATCACATAAAGTAGACGAAAACTCTATTGACATGGACGCGCAGGAATTTCAATTAAAGGTACGTACCATGTGAATGTGTCTACCTATAGAGTATATCGCTTGCGAATCGCAGTTGGAAAAGTACGATTCAAGATCGAGTAACACTACAGACATCGATGTATCATCGTTAATAAAATACAAATTCGCAATTCTCAAATACGGTAACGATATTTAAAATGAAAAGTTGTATTTAAAGTTTGTTTATTAATAGTTTTAAAAGCATAATGTTGTTTATTAACTTTAATTGTAGGAAATGTTAATATCTGTTATAATGATTTCTAGTACTAATCGATTATTTTTCATAATCATTTCATGTTATGTTCACTTTATGATACATATAATTATAATAAATATATAAATTATACCGTTCTGTAATATTTATTTGTATGTCTAAAAATTATTTACATTTACAGAAGGTATTCTATTTGTCGATTACTATCTTTTACAGAGTAAATAGATTAAATATAATGTAGTCTTTGGTTTCGTTTAACACTCGACCACTGATATACTCTATCGAGATCGATGTTTGGTGACTACTATAGTCTGTGTTTGAATTAAAGATTATACTATGTCTCAATGACATGGTAGAATACAGATAATGTTTGGCACTAAAATTATTTATTATAAATGAAAACTAACCAAAATTGTTATAACTTATAATGCAAAAATGAATAGCTAAATTATTTGTTCCCGACTACTTTCTTTAAATATTCGTTGAAATATGATGATAGTTGTTTTGGCCACAAAATTTGGAACAATTCTCATAAAGTCTAAAAATAACACTTTAAATCTTCCTCTCAAATAAAGTTCAGGTGGTAGTAGAGAGATATCATATCTAAAATGTAATATTATAATTCACAATCATCTATTGAGTGGCGCAAAGTTTGCTGGGAGAGCCAGTAAATTAATATTTTTAGTAATCACAAGGGCCACAAGATATACTTTTTTATATACTTAATTTAACTGCTCTATAGTCTTGTCAATTTCAGCAGAAAAATCTATATACATCTGATAATAATAATAAGATAGTTTTTCATATCCCTACATTCCTCACATTGGGAGAATAGGATATTTGGTAAAATGAGTTGCAGTTTTGCTAAACTTTACCATTTAAAGTAGTAGTACGGTATCATTTAAACAGTATTAAAGTAAGCGACAATAATACTACAAAACAATGTATGTATAATTTAATTGATTTATTCTATAACAAAAACAACAATTCCTTACAAAAATAAGTTACATTATTTTTTTTTTACATAATATACAAGTAATCTAGTGATATTCTGCTAATTCCTTTTTTAATTCACTAAGGTTTCTATAACACTGTTTGGGTTTTATATCCCAGTGCTCTTGCCAATCTTCGGTTACGAGAATAGCTTCCCAACCTGCTCCTTTTGCCCCCTCAAAATCTTTTTCATAATCATCTCCAATATGGAGGCATTCTTCTGATGAAATATTGAATTTTGTTTGCATTTTGGCCAGTTGAAAGATAGCTTTATCCGGTTTGTTATACCCTACCTCGTATGATGTCAATACAAATTTGAAATATGTGGTGAGGTTTAATTGGTGCAATACTTCATGAAGTCTTGGATCAAAATTGGATATAACACCCAGCTCTATGCCTTGATTTCTTATATGAGTTAGTAGGTCTAATGCTCCATCGGCTGCACACCAACATTTAGGTGTCTTGTAGTCCTCAATAAGAATATTTGAGATACTCTTGACTTTATCCTTATCATCAATGCTGTCCTTAAAAGTACCTTCAACTATTTTTCTCCACCAGTTTTCCCATAGTATAGATTCTCTGCCAAAGTTCGGGTGTGTCTTACTTAGTATTTTATATGTGCCTAAAAATTGTTTTTTTATTTGTTCTTCTTTAACATGATAACCATGTTTCTCAGCAACTTCTGCGTAGTATTTCCATGGCGATACACAGAATTTTAACAGCGTGTTTGTTGCATCAAATGTCAGTAGCTTTATTTTAGATAATAAAACCATGTCAGATTACACAATAACTTATCGATTTGGGAGTGAGAATCTGCTTATTTTATACTTCATTATACTATGTACTTTAGTTAGTAATATAAACTTCTACAATTAAAATTATTGTATAAGTCTAGGTATTTGTTGTTCCATATTTGATCACAACAAATAGTCAGATAAAATTTGGTTTGTTAAAATAAAAGAATATAACATAAGAGACCACAGAGTAAGTATTTATTTAAGTATTCACAGACTACAACATACTATCAGTGTTTAAAACTCCCTGGGTAAAAAAAAAAACAATTATTCTTAACAGGACTGCATTTTAAATCATATTTTTGCAATATCGTAATAGCAAATTGCTCTATCTCATGTGGAATACTTACAAGCAGTAAAATTTTGTTTAAAAAAAACCGAACAAAAAGCTGCTACCAAGAAACGATTAGGCTAAGATAGCAACACTGTCACAGAGTATATTCTTATTTAGAGTCTGGCGTATTTGTAAAGTGTAAATTAGACTATATTTTTTTCAAGAATATACTTAATATTCGGGCGTGGAAAACAAAACTTCTGAATTTGTAGATTTTACTTTACAAACTATTTGTGCAGTTTTATTTTCTTAATGTTGTTTAGGAGCAAGCAAATTGATCAAATTCAAGGTCTATAATGTATTTCTTTGTCCTTATATATATTTTTATTTTTATGATAGTGGTGGACAGATAAGCATGACGTTCGGAAATCCATAGATTGAAACTAAAACCTGACGGCTTTTTCATCTGAGGATGGTGGTTCGTTACCCGGAGAAAATATCGATTTTCCATATTATGCTGTATGAAGTTGGCTGTTCTGCTCTTTCAATGATTTTATTTAGTAAAATAAGATAAGTACCTAGTCGAACTTCTGTGCGCTTCCAAACCGAAACCATTCATTATTTTCCGGAGCTCGAAGCTAAGACCTCTCGCGTTAAACTTAATGCCTAGATAATGACGTTCGCAGATTCGTAAATATTAAATAGACGTTACACGAACACCATTTATTTTAAGTATTGACAGTTACTACTTACAGAGAACGGATCTGAGACTAATGATAATAATTATGAAACGGTCACATTTAGTGTCACATTAATAATGAAAAACACGAGAAAAATTTTTTTTCTAACGATAAATAATTTAAAAAAGTCGGACAGAACTATTAATCGCGCAAGTTTACCGAAACAAATAATACATAAGATTATTATAATACCTAAACAAATTAAATTTTATAATAACATTTAATTTCAAATAGATGGTGATTACGAGTGCTACAGTTCTGTTCTACATATACAAATGCTGCGTACCTACTAACGTAATGTGTGTACCTCACACTTAACCAGAAAAATGTGTACTCTTTCGGATTTAAATGACACATATTTTTTAATAAATAATTATAATAGATTTAAAAGATAAATGCATTAAATAATTTGACGATTTCCGCAAATTGTACCATCATTTACCTACTAGTACTCGCAGTAAAATATACCTAGTATTCAATACTGTCTCTAATTTAGACGAAAGGTTTAATTTAAATAAAACACTAACGGTTTAAAACGCGATGTATACGTTAAACTTATTTAAAAATTATTTTACGTGCGGCCCGACGTTTTGGATGCTTTGCCTCAGACGTCAAAGTAAAAACTGCTACGCTAGCACATCCATTTGGGCCGTAATTAAAATAATTTTCAAATAAATTTAACTAATATATATCGCGTTTTAAATCGTTAAAGTGTTTTATTTAAATCTTAATATACTCCGTACACTTTAAATGATTAAATTTAATGTGACACTAAAATATGGAAATAACATCGATTACAATAATTGAGCTTAAGTGCCTTCCTCGTGTCTACCTGTCTAAGATCCAATTTCACCAAGAAATATTAACGTTGATTAAAATTGACAGGACGTAAAAGTTGGGAGGTTGTTTGAACTTGACATTGAGATACAGTCTTAATTATTAATTTCTCGGTGAAATTTGGTCCGCTCTGTTTTTCATATGTGATGACTTTATAATGAAGTATGTTAACAGGTGCCAAATAAATACAACAGTGCATACGGTGAGAGTATATAAATGGACAAAAGTATAGAATATTTTTATTCTTAGTAAGGATCTTATCATTAGTATCTGAATATTAAACATAAAGGTAGATATTTTCATGAAGCACGTGTTTTTTAATACAACTTCAATTAATTCAGTTACACACCATTGTCCAATAAAGCGAATTCGTACTCTTAAACGAAGTTCTTTTTGATAAAAGAGGGTAGATAAACACTGGATTCACTGGATGGTGGAATACCCCAGCCATATAAAATCTCAATAAGACGCGCTGTCGACCTGTATTTTGCATTTGATTTTCGGAAACCACAGACTGTAATCAAAGCGCAATTAAACCTTGCGGGTTTTTCATCAGTGGAGGGTAGTTTGGGATAACTGTTTAGTTAATTTACAGATATACAGACAAGCTCCCACACGTTTCAGTAAAATTATGAATTGATTAGGAACGTGTTAGACCCGTACGCTTCTACCATTGGACCAACGAGCCCGTTAAATTGAATGAACAACAACAACGAAACAAGCGTTTGAAGATAGTGTTCAAAGTAAAGAGATACAGAGCGGACCGGACATTTGTATAATAGGTACGGTGCTAAGGTACATGGACATTTATATCTAATTAATAGACATAGATACAGCATTTCATTTAAAGAGGTCCCTTGCTACAGTATATAAAGTATGTATTCAACAATTACCCTTTACCTGAAGCTCCGACTGCGTAATTTTTAATCAATACAATAACTCAATATAATGCAACATGACACCTATACAGTGATATATTTTAAAAATATTTTCCCAGTACATACATAATAATTAATTGTTAAAACAGGGGTCAACAACTATTTTTATAAGAGGTTCTAAAGCCCAAAATCATAAACATCATCATCCTGAAAAGAAGCAAAATACGAAAAAATAAATCATTAAATAACAGGTAAATCTTTTATCAGCGAAATGATAAAATACAATTTTATATGTCACAGTATTTTTCATAATAACAAGGTGTCAGAAAACGATACTCGAAAAGTATAAGAGGAACTGTGGAGGCCCCGAAATATTTTCCAAATTAAATGTTAATAATAAACAATTTAATAGATAGATTTATCGATTAATAAATGTTATCGAAATAAAGAAATCTGAAATTGTTGCGTTAATTTTGTTCAGAGCTAACAAAAGACCATCGCTTCCTTATCCTAAATCCGGACCTGCAACCCAATATTAATTAAAGGCATTAAATACTGTCTGTAATTGACGCGAGTAGTACACATTTAATTAAAAAACTTTTACGGTTTAAAATGCGATATATATTATGTAAACTTATTTGAAAATTATTTTTACTACGGCCCGACGTTTCGGATGCTTTGCAGCAGCCGTAGTCACGGGGAGACGAGCGAGTCGTAGTTAAAATAAATTTCATATAAGTTGAATTAATAGATATCACATTTTCTACCGTTAAAGTGTTTTATTTTAAATAAAACATTTAACGGGTAACGGCATTTTAACACAAGTAGAATTACACAATCTGTGTATACAATATAATTGACAGGGTATTGTATTATGTATTTACTGGGATGCCTAGAGATAATCACGAATAGAATTAGGCCCATGACCACTTATTATCTAACTAACTATAACGCATAATTAGTAATATGTAACAGTCAATATTAATAATAGACACAGTACTTATATTAAGAGCGGGTATATTGAAATGCAGTTTCCTGAAAAACCAGATGACAACGAATTGTTTTAAACAACGAAATTATTACATAGCGAATACTGATAGTCCGATGTAGTGGTAACTACTTAAAATATAAAGGAATGAATCCGGCCCTGTAAAACCATCAAAAATTTACCTCTGGTTTTTCGACACTATACTTAGAAGATAAACAAGCAAAATTGCAATACATAAACAACATTATAATATATATTGCACTTTAGCCAATATTTGAATATTGAGAATGGGAATAAAATTCGGAAGCACCACAATAATTGTAGAAGGAGAAATGCTCAAAGACTTCATGTTAGTGGTAACTGTATCGACATGCTAAAGACTTTTTTATAATAGTTACTATAACTAGTTCTATTCCATGAATTATTTGATGTTAATTTAGTAACTAACAATACAGCTATAGATGGCGGAGGGATACAATAAGAGTCATACTGAGAATCTTGATATTTTAGTTAACACCGATAAAATTTTTAATTATTGAATATGTAAAGTTAGTATTTGTGAATAATTAAATACTTGACAATAGACAAGTTTCGAAAATCGTAATTCAGAATTCAAAATTAAAGAAACGTTTTATAATTCGAAGCTTTCGAGGAATTTGATTTGGATTATATAATCGGACTCCATTTGGATTTTTGCTCTACTTTACTTGTAACAGAAATATTTTGCGATCGAATGCTAACAATAGTCATGTACACTTATACATCGGTATGAATAATAAGAATGACAATGACATATATCCTATATTAAATTGTAACAATTACCTTAGTCCGTTCACGCCAAGTAAATATAAAATACCTAAATGGGACGCAGCAATCAATATTCCTATACTAATACTGTTAATCGGATACAAGATTGGCACAATTTAGTATTATTAAGCAATTTGTATAAAACATCGAAAAATACTAGGGTTAATAGATTTTTAGATACGTATAGTCCATTCACATAAAAATAGAATGTATTTGTCTAAATAGTTACTAAAAGCTTAGTCCATACAACAATAAATCTATAGGTCTAATTGAGTAAAACAAAGTACATTTAAGGGGCATCTGAACGACAAAGCATTCTTATATACTTTATAAGTAAATTTCAATATCAAGAAAAATGCTTTTAAAGCTAAACGGTGTAAGCCTATCGTCTTAAAAAGGGAAAATAAAATATTACCTATTAAATAAGAACAAGTGACAGTACATAGATGCAGTTCAAAATATTGAACTAAATGAAAGAAAGTACGTTCAGAGCTTAAACTACAATAATATAAAGTAATAATACGTAAGTACACTAATAAGTCATAATTAATAGTATATAAGGTAAAATAAATTTTGAGAAATTATGCTTATTTTAAATTGAGATTTCTCATTTTGTTGGCTTCATGTTAGATCTGCACATTGTTCTAGCCATTGTTATTCTGTAATCGTTAATATAGATATAGAGCTTTTTGGCTCAAGAATGAGACACAGAATCATTTGAATAACACACAGAGCTTGTCCCATAATTTTCATTAACAGTTTGTACGATATTTTTTGTTCAACATTCTTCATATGAAACATTCTGTCTTCATAAGATACCATTCTAAAGCCGTATACATGTTGGGGAATCTTTAAACTACTACTGTGTGTGTAAACTACTGTGCAGACCTTAAATTTCTTTTTCACTCTGTTACCTGTTCCCGAATCTACGAATACGATATCTAGGAGTTTTCACTTCCGTCACCGTAACTGAGAAGCCAGTCTAGAGTGCGACGTAGGTGGTACGGCAGGTCGGAATAGTCATACAGACATCTTGTCTTTATCATCAAGTTTCATACACCGTGCATTTTAACTACTGTACGAAAAGAATCATCCTCTATAGCAGCCCATTACTTTCGTTACTTCAATATCACCATATATTTACGCTAACCTTATCATCTAAGTTCCGATAGCACGTTGCATATCAACATTAATATCGTTTCAATTGACAATAATAATGACCTCGTTCTCTATATATAAGCGCACGATCCCGCGTAGTTGACCCATCACAACCCTGGTTCATATGGCCAGAGATTATTACCCACCATTACTTGCTAAGTTCAAAATTTGGCCAAGCCCCTATATTGGTTTGAAAAAAGAAAACAAAGTTTTTTTTTGTTTTATCCATACTTAATAGTATGTTTTTATAAAGTCGAGGCCCCATATGTCAACTCCCGTAAGGAAAAGCCACGTAACGTATTCAATGCACCCGCCAAATGCTACAAAAGCCGTAGGTGCACACTTGTCACGACGCGATCATTCGGGCAAGTATCCGTCCAGCTCTTCAAAGTTCCGATCACATTGAGGTTGTCCAAGCCGATGCCCCCGTCGGGGCACCCTTGATCTATACGCTACCAAGTCCAGTTAGTATTAGAGGCCCCATCAATAAAAAGAAGTAATACTGACGCCAAGAAAAAAACCGAACCGTAATATTAGTGGCAACAATATACGCCGTGCTGTTTCAATAGCGTGTACTAATATCGATAAATTCGTTAATTGATTAGAAGAAATTTACAGAGCTTCAAACGTAAGTACATTGATTTTATATTCAGTCTTGATACATATAGCCAGTCATTTAGTATCCGTTGCAATTTAAATTCATAAACCAGAATTGAGACACTTGGAACTGCTTTCCCACACCAAAACAGCTCTTTACAGTTAAGTCTTACTATGCGCTAAGTGTCTCATCTGTTATATTATTTACAGCCCGCTACGTTAAAGGAATTACGAAATATGGCAGGTTGGTAATACAGATGAAATACCTCATTTTGCTTCGAACAATTACAAAGGTGCTCTTCCTTTTTTAAATTTCGACTGACGACAAGTGTTTTTTTCTTGATATCCCAACGAGACTACTGTACATGGAATATTAAAAGGGTATCACAAGTTATTTAAACATCGAAAAATTAATAATTGAGCTACATCTATACTAGATCATTGAAAATTAGACCGCGTTCATTGGATTTTCGATTATATTTACTGAAGCGGTATTAGGCTTTGGTTTTCGCCTGAATAGAAAGTCTGCTAGACTCGCGGCCCGTTGCGGGACTTCTCTGTCCAGCTCGCCGATTTCAGCGCTGCTCCACGTTTCGTTGCTCGATTTCTTCACGTTGAGGGAGATATTGGATTTGGACCTGGTAGCTCCCAAGTAACCGGCAGCACCCAGGTCGGTCGAGTAAGCTTTGGTTTGTAGGAGGCTGATGAAGGTCGGGAGGCCTGGGTTGTCGGCGAGGGAGAGGGGGCGCTGCATATGCTTAATTACCCTCGCTCGAACGGCGCTGGCTAGGCTATCCCAAGACTTCTTTTCGTTCGAGACTTTAGGACTAGCCGCTCCGGTTTGCTCATCTGTAATTAAGATAAACACTTATTATTGTTAAGTACTTAAATACCTAAAAATTATATTTCATAAATGATGTACCATAATTTTTTTTTCACACCGTAGTACTCTTTTTCGATTGACTAAAATAAAATTCATTTCTAAAAGACTTCTAACGGTTTAGGGCGAAAAATGTATTACTTAACTAAATTACAATTAATTTTAACTACGGCACGAAGTTATCGCCATCGTAGAATTTTGTATTTTGACATTAGGGACACCTATCATGTTCAGTCCCACTGTGACCACGGTCGCTGCGAAGCACAACAGCGTGGCTTAGTTAAAATAATTTGTAAATAAGTTACCTAATATATTTGGCGTTTTAAACCGTTAAAAGAGTTTTAAACTAATACTTATAATATTATAATAACAGCACATAAATATGCTTTACGATAAGAATGTGATAATTACCTTTAGGAATAGAACTCCTTGGTGTGGGCCCATCCTCATCAGTGTGGCCTTCAGAGAGCGTTTCCAGCGGACGATGGTCGGGCTTCTCCTGGTTTCCACCACCACCAGACCCCGAAGTCGATGGCGTCGGATTCTAAATTAATTAATAACTTTAAGGGAATCGCTACAGTAAGATAAAATGTAAATCAAGGAATATTTAGTCTCACTTTAGGTAGATATAGTTGACACCAAATGTTATCGAAGTTAGTCATGAAGTTAGAAAGTAGACTGGCAAGCTCTTTGAACCCGAAACGATTAAACTTCACAGCTTTTTTATCTGTGGATGGTGGATCCAGACCCGAACGGAATTTCGATACTCCAACCACCATTTAATATCCAGATTTCTAAACGAAGTCCAACATGTTTCAGAACAAAATATAAATTGATTAGAAAAAATGTTGGACTCGGTGGGGGTCGAACGACCCGTTGATTATTAGCCGGACATTGCAACCATTATATCAACGAGCCCGTCAAATTACTTGTGTTGTACTTGAAAACATTAATATTTTTCACATGTTATTGCACATGAAGGCACTATATAATTTAAAAATCGAAAATTTTTTTCAATTTATTTTCGATTTTTAAATTATGTGTTGTACTTTCACAACTAAATATGATTGACTAATTATAACGAATTAACTATCAACGTAGCCGACACATCAATTAAAATGTATGAGGTGTTCTGAACATTTGTGCCTATGTGCATATTAAGAGTATTTCGACTCACGGTATAGATATCGTTATTGCTGGTCACAATAGTGGTTTCTCCAACACCGTCCAGGAAGAAGGTCAGCATGTTGCCCTTGCCCTTCACGTCGATAGTGCCCCGGCAGCGCAGTTTGTACCCTCGCTTCGACAGGATGTCGTACACCTCTTGCGTTACCTACAGAAGGTACGCAACAGACACTATAATGGACAACTCGTTATCGCGTACGCGCAACCGCCAACGTAAAATTGTGGTACCACAACCATCGCAAAGCGTCAAAAAAACTATGGAGTCGCCAGATTTCGCAATAATTAATACCAGAAGGCGACTCCATCATTACCAGAGCTTGCAATTAAATTGGTTAACTCCAAGCAAAATACTGCTGAGAGCTTAGTGATCCGAAACTGTCGGTCTTCACCTGAATGTGGTCGAGCAGGCCAGTGGAGTCCATCCGAGAAGCCACGTTCACGGCGTTGCCCCAAATGTCGTATTGAGGCTTCCTCGCGCCAATGACACCAGCTACCACGGGCCCAATATTGATCCCTGTAACATTGCCAAACAAGGTCAAACAACAATTATTAACAAACTAAACAGTAGATAAATACTTCACGATATAATAACCAATACAACGATAGTCATTTCGTAACTTAACTAAGTCTAACAGATTTTTTTTATTACCAAATTTAATTGTGTGAACATTTTTGGTGTATTAATAAAACAAGTAAATAAAAAATCAATTTTAGATGAAAAAATTGACGATTTTTTTTAACGACTGGGACTCAATTGTTTAGAAAAAAAAATCACTGTATCCGGTTTAAGTCTTGCTCAAATCGTAATTTTTTTTCAACTTAAAATCAATGTTAAGTTTACATAATGCCATAATCATGTCAAGAATATTAAAGTGTTAAAAATACAAGAAATAACATTCGCACAGTTAGCCATAGCTACATTCGCAGTTTATTAGTAAATTGCATAAGCTCAGTTAATTTTTAATTAGGTAAGAAGTAAAGGTTCGTGACCTTCGTCTTTTAATCAATTCCAGTTTGCTAAACCTCGTTGAGTTAAAGTCTTGTCTTAGCCGAAAGATGCGAGAGATGTCGTTCCCGATTATCACCACTAATATAGTGACGGTGGTCGAAATCCAACCAAGGCACAGCTTAGAACCAAAGGTGTAAACTGTGACTTTATTTCCGAATATTCAAGGCCGAAATAGGTCGATAGCGCACCTTGTTCACGTATTATATGGCTGGAGTGTTAGCATCAAGTAAATGTTCTTTGCGGTGAGGCTTAGAAAACTGGAAAGTACGTTGTTATGGAACACGAACCCCCTTCAGCTGTTCCCACATCTTACCGATCCGGATCCTGAAGGTATTGAACGAGTGCTCGTTGACATACTGCAACTGTTCGCGTAGACGTAGTGCGTAGTCAGCCATTGCGGTGACGTGGCGGAATCCGCGCACGTCGCTCGTCGCTGCCGTCAGACCTGTTCAGGCTTAAGGCTTAAGACAAGGCTTAATTAAATAATACTGCCGGCGTATTGTTCTTCTTTATGATTCTGATTGAAAAAGTATAAGTTTTGAAAAAATTTTAACATTTTTAACAATGGGTAGACCAAAATGTTTCTCATCAATTTATATTTTTTCTGAAACACGTTTGACTTCGTCTGGATATCTGGAAATCAAAAGGAACATTGAACTTCCGTCCGGGTAAGACCACCCGAATAAGCAAAGTCAAAATACGTCGACAACTGTTTACGCGATTAGTACACATTTAAATAAAACACTTTAACGGTTTAAAACGCGATATAGTCACGGGGAGACTCCCCGTGACCGCGGCTGCTGCAAAGCATCCGAAACGTCGGGCCGAAGTTAAAAATCATTTCCAAATAAGTTTAACTAATATATTGCGTTTTAAACCGTTAAAGTGTTTTATTTAAACTGTTATATGGCAGGGGTATTACTTTCCATCATGTGAACCCCACGTTTGTCTCCTCATCTACCAGAAATGCATTAAAAAAATTATGTCACATATATTGTTATTACGAGAGCAAAACTTTTATGTACCTGATGCCGCCATATACGTTGCGCCTGTGCTCTTGATTTTCTCAATGTACTTGAACTGTTCCTCAGCCAATATTTCGTCGAAGTCAGCTATGATCTCGTTCAGGAGGCGGAGGCATTCAACGCCCTCGTTGTTCCCTTCAAGTTCCACGTAGAATTCGGAGAAGTTCGGAATCGATGCGAACATCACGCACACGGACTCACATTGTTCGTGGTACAGCTCCTGTCAAAGATAAACATTTTTTGTCAAATCTAAATAATTGTTGAAATTTTAAAGGCAATAGAGATTATTTTATTTTAAGACTGTACCATGTATGTTGGGTGGGTGTAACACGTTCTTTATGTAGGTTTTCTATTGACCAAATGTTACATTTGATCTTATAATCAATTTATAATTCTTCTGAAACACGTTAGACGTAAGAGGTAAAGTATCTCCGCCTGTCATTGAACAACGTGAGTAAAGAAATCAAAGATATCAAATGACGTCAAAAAGGATGCTTCCTTCGACAAATTATATATAAGTCAACTTTAAATTATAAGGATTTAAATTAGTCTATGTTGCAGTACTATTAGTCTAAATAATAGGTAATTTTAAATAATTAACTTTTGTACTAAAAACTCCCTTAAATCCTAATTTTAAGCAAAGTAAAAAAAACATAATTATTAGTTTATTTAATATTACATATTATATTATAAAAGATAAGGATGATGTTCTTACGTCGAAATTTTTATCGCTGCAGAGGAAGTGCTGCGCCACGTGTTCTGGTAGGATATTGGCGAGTAACTTTCTGTTATACGCTTCCAGGTGCTCCATATCTTCTTTTTCCTCTGTAAATACAATTTGTGTTAAATACATTTAGTCATTGAAATACGAACATAAGCCTGTGGAATATTTTAAAAACCTTGTCTCCGGGATAGTGGGGGTTGTCCTTTTATTGGGGGGCCCAAAAAAAAAAAAATTTTTTATTTTAACCTTCGCCCCGGGTTTTGGGGGGTGTTTTTTTTTTTTTTTTTTTTTTTTTTTGTCCTTTTTTTTTTTTTTTTTTTTTTTTTTTTTTTTTTTTTTTTTTTTTTTTTTTAAACATAAACTATTAAGTTCAGCGCCATCTCGTAAGAAGAAGATAAAATTATCATTCATAATAGCGCCCTCTCGTGGTAAAATGTCATTTAATAATATTACCATGTAGAAACACGAAGACCCACTATTTCAAAGACCAACATTGTAATTGAGTCAATTATTTTGTTTTCTCATAGAATTTGAAATGGAATTTAATGTCAGATAGTAGATGAACCACTTAAAAACACATGGTTTAATTAAATTTAATGATGTGGCAAATTATTCAACAAGATAACTCATCAACCATCTCACGAATTCAAGAGTCAGGTTACCCATTTCCTAAAATCCTTTAACGTCCCGAGGAAACCCCCCAAACAGGGCCAAAAAAAATTAAAATTTTTTTTTTTCAGGGGGGATAATATTTTTCCCTATTTTTTTAAAATATTTTTTAAAAAAAAAAACCCACCCAAAAAAAGGGGGGGGGAAAAAAAAAAAAAAAATAAAAAATTCCCCCCCCCTTCTCTTTTTTTTTTTTCCTTTTTTCCCCCCCCCCCCCCAACCTCTTTTTTTTTTTTAACCCCGGGGGGGCCCCCCCCAAAAAAAAAGGGGGGGGGGGAGAAAAAAATTTTTTTTTGTGAAAAAACTTACCATTAGCTTGCAATTTCCATATGAAATCTAATCTGTATGTGCTTTCTTGCTGTGAATGTAGTAATAGTGCCACAAGCGCTCCGGCCGCCACGACGATATTTGTCAAGTCTTGGTTCCAATCATCAGCGCATTTGTGCCTGAATAAATATAAATAAAGGGTATATGGAAGGTTATTTTTATTATACATATTACATGGAAAGGATAGGTTTTTTTTTATCATTGAGAAAAGGTCACTGGATTGTACGATAAATGAATTGTGGCTTGAAACGACACGGCTTTTTTAACTGTGGACGGTGGTTCGTGACCCTAATGTATCTATCACTAATTTAACATCCAAATTTGCCATTAAGAAAAATATAAATTAACTAGACACATGCTGAACCACATGGGGATCGAAGCCACGACCCAAAAGGTTCTTAGGTTTTGCTCCATTACACCAAGAAGCCCGTCGAAGACTACTATTGAAATAATTTTTTACTAGTTAGTACTTACTGAAGATGCGAGTAGTGTCGTTGGTAGAACATGTATTTCTGTATTGTAGCGGCAACGTAGGTAGCACTGATGAATACTAGCAGTACCGTCTTGAGAATCGTTATGAGGACCTGGTGGGCAGCGCAGAGGAACATTGCCAGCAGTGTCAGTTGAAGATAGTGCTGCAAAAGACTCAATATGATTACAATATTCATCTAGGCAAAAAAATCGTAATCACCCCACATGCTAGTATATAGTGAATTGTAATGGAATAAATAAAACAATTTAAACTGTTTAAAACGTGAAATGTAGTAGTAGTAGCCGTCCGAAACGTAGTGCCATAAAATAAATTAAAAATTAGTTAACTAATATATTTCGTATTTTAAACAGCTTACTTTTATTTACATACTATACACACAACGGTTAAAATAAATATAATAATATAAAACACTAACGGTTTAAAATGCGATATATATTAGTTAAACTTGTTTGAAAATTATTTTAATTACGGCCCGACGTTTCGGATGCTTTAGTAGTTAAAAAAGTAGTAGTTCTTATTTTAGTCAATATTAGTTTACCGGCAACAGTAAGAACCTATGTCAGAATGGAATTCCTAATTTTTGTTGTCTCACCCTGGTGATAGACAGACAGACAACGAACGTGTCAGTGTTATAGTTCGTATTTTAAACTTTTAGCTCGAAACTAAAAATAAGCATTGTTACGTTACATGCTCCTCCCTTACCCCCCCCCCCCCTTTCCTTCTTATTTCAAAACTGTCATCTGTTTTAACAATAAATAACTGAAGTTAGTAGTCTCTGTCATTGCTAAGGCGGGAAGCAGATATTTTCTAATGTATATATATATATTATATTATAAACGGACCTCATTAAGACTTCTTGGGCAGGTATCTCCATCAGTCTTCACTACTTTGTCTGACAGTAGATGTATCCCCTGTAAAGAAACAATTGACTACGATAAAAACACATTCTTCTTCTGTTTCAGTTTTAGCAAGTTCTCTTTGAGGTCTTACCAGGCTCGTTGGATCAATGGTAGCAATGTATGGCTAATAATCAATGGGCCGTGGGTTCGATTCCCACCGTTTCCAACGCTTTTCTTTCAACATTTTGGAAGTTAAATGTGTGGTAGGAATATCGAAATTCCGTCCGGGACTAACCACTGTCCACAGATGAAAAATCGTGCATTTAAATACTGTCTATAGTTTACGCGAGTAGTACACATTTAAATAGAACACTTTAACGGTTCAAAACGCGATATATTAGTTAAACTTATTTGAAAATGATTTTTAACTTCGGGCCGACGTTTCGGATGCTTTGCAGCAGCCGTGGTCACAAGGAGACTAAAGATGGACGTCAAAGTAAAATATTGCTACGCTAGCGCCATCTGTTCCGTCGAAGTTGGTATTTGTCGAAACTGGCCGGGTCCTTACAGAATTGACGTCGGGCCGAAGTTAATAATTATTTTCAAATAAGTTTAACTAATATATCGCGTTTTAAACCGTTAAAGTGTTTTATTTAATCGTGCATTTATTTCAGTCAATACTTTTGCGAAATATCCAAGACCGAAATAGGCCGACAGCGCATCTTATTGAGATGCTATATGGTGACAAATGAACCCTATGTTCGTCATATAAATTTAATGTAAGAACAATTTAGGTTATATTTTTAGACTACATATATATGAGGCAGCTGGAGACAGAGTAGCCTAACCGCAATTTTATGACTTGAGTTATTTATATTTTCATAGTCTAAAAATGTTAATCTACAAGAGGACAGTGACCGAAAATTGTTAACATAATCCTTACACAAATAATAGTACAAATGCATTTTCGCCAAAGTTAATTAATTGCGCATTTTTTCCTCCCTATAGAAAATCATGTATTTGTTATTAGGCCACTTTGCCTCTAGCCCATATAATCGTAACACTGACCATGATGACCTCAATTTGCGTAGTCACGGCACCAACGACTAGAAAAGACATCAGCTGCGCCAGATTGCGGTTGTTATGGATGCTAGCTGAAAATCTCTGCAGACGAGGCGTCGCGAACTATAAAAAAAGATGCTTTTGAGTCGTGTCAAGCAATGTAATGAATTGAAATAATGCAATTTAATTAATTTCAAACTAAATCTCTATGTTGGCTGGCGAGAATATTATATGTTTGAACACGCCTATATCGGGAATGATTCATCTTCAAATGATCTAAAAAAAATCGCGATACTATATGTCTATTTTTTAAGATTGACTTGTACGGGACGCGACGGACAACAGTTGTGGGTAATAGCTTAAATTTAGAGTTGAACAGGAGTTTTGCAAAAACAATATTTGATGTCCAAAATTAGTATTTTAGGTGGACGACGTCGCAGAGCACGGCTAGTGATGTGTAAAATTTGATTTATAACAAAGCCATAAGTACCTTAAAGTCATTGCAGATCACGACGTAGCTGACCGCGAGTACAACAGAAGCACATAAGATCATCGTGATAGCGCCAGTCAAAGTGCTGTTGAAAAAAAAATCGATCACTATATTTTCCTAAATAGTAAATAGCAAATTATGACGTCAATAAAAGCTTTCATGCCTCTTTTATTCATAAAAGGAGCTTTATATATAATATTTAATATTCTAACGTGTTTGTGTATATAAATATATTTTCTATTTAGCTTAACATGTTAAGGTAGAAGTTTTTGTTAATAAATAATGATGATTTCTCTCAATTTTCAGAAACGCTTTCAATTCTAAATCTACTACAAATACAGGACAATACTACAAACTACAAACACAGTAAAATACTTACATGGTGAAGACAAGTGACTGCACAAACAACACAGATATGTACACGAATATTGAGCACAGGAAGTAGATCTTCAACATTCTGTCTCGTTCCGAAACGTACTGCAAATAAGAGGTGTTTCTTTGTTTTTTTAAGCCAAAAACAAAAGGATATAATTAATAATTTAAAAATCGATAAAAAAATAAAAAAATTACGACTTGGATAGGACTTGATTCGCCGTCGTCAGCGTTCCGTGCTGTTGCTCAAATCTACCGAGTCAATTTTTTCCATTTTTAATTTATATAGTGCCATCGTGTGAAAAATATTAAAGTTTTAACACAAATCGTAAGAGATAACTATATGATGAAAAAGTAACGTTTCATCGCGTTTCGGTTACAGTCTGCATTTCCGAATATCCAAAAGCCCAAATAGGTCGACAACACGTCTTATTTAAATGTTATATGCTTATCTGTTCTCTATCATAAATACATTTCGTTATCAGTGTATTTTACAGCACTATCCTATTTGTACACAGATATAATTAAAAAAAGGGGAACGAATGTCCACTCTTCCCTTCCTCGCCACCTCGTTATAACTCCGTTAAAAAACGACGGAGATTCATCTAAAACTTTTTAAAAGGGGATTACACTTCCTCTGTGTTAAATAAAAATTGCTAATTTACTCAGCAACTTCTAGTGTATCATCAAAGTATAATTTCGTTCGGAGATGAGTTTCAATCGGACAAGATTTCTATATTTTGACATTTCTCTACACGTTACAAAGTACGCCTGTACACCTTTTGTGATTTTATTATTAAATTCAATATCTACATCTTAAGTTACAAGACGAAGTATCTATAACGCCCGTGGGTCAAGTAATTGCTAGTCTATAATAATCAAAGGATCGTGGATTCGATCTCCACTCCAGCATATTACTAATCAATTTATATTTTATTTGGGAGGTCTTTGACTGGAAATCTGGATATTATATGGGTAGGAATATCGAAATTTCATCAAAAAAGCCTTGAAGTTCAATCTGTGGATTTCCGAATATCCAAACGTAAAACAGACCGACAGCGCATTTCATTTAGATGTATAATATAGCTGGGATATTTCAACATCAAGTAAACCAAATGCTTGTCTGTTCTCCGCCAACATAAAAAAAATGTAAAATTTATTACACGCACCCAAGTCTGCCGCCGTTGGAGCGTGAATTTCTCCGCATGTTTAATTTAAAATGCACGACGCCTCTGCCAACTGGCCGTTTTCCAATTACTCAGAAATTTTCTGGCGTCTCCGGGAGAGTAAGTTGAAAGCTAGTGCAGGCAAAGCGAGGCTCAAGAGAATTACACTTGGTTAATATCACTGCACCGCGATGGGGCGTAATAAACCTAATTCGGTTATCTGTACTGTTCTAGAGCTTTTCACAATTCAAACTAACCTAGAATTGACGAAATTTTGACTCAATTTGGTTTCAAAGAACTAATGACCAAGTGATCATACAATTTTTTTATGATACAGGAGGACAGACAGCACGGTTTTCACTTGATGGTAGGTGATATACCCCAGCACAATCACATCTAAACTAAATGCGCTGTCGACCCATTTTGGCTTTGGATATTCGGAAATCCAAAGACGAAAACCGAAACGCGATTAAGCTTCACGATTTTTTCATCTGTGGACGGTGCTTCGTGACCCGGACGGAATTGAATATCCAGATTTCCAGGCGAAGTCCATCAAGTTATGTTAGCTGGCGGGGATCGAATCAACGAGCACGTCAAAAACAATTAATTATATTCATTTCAACGGCATATTATGTACATATAGAAACACAAAAATACACTTTAGATTACTAAATATTAGAGTAGAAACAATCTTTACTAATATTATAAAGCTGTAGAGTTTGTTTATTTGTTAAAATGTGCTAAACAGGAACTTGTTTTGGTTTGACCATTTATCGAGGAAGGCTTAATGCTATTAAACATCAGACAGCAAAATCAGATTATCTTCGATGGATTCCGTTACGTGCGCTGCTAAAACGGCTCAAGAAACCAAAACATATATAAACGAATGATTACTCTTTAAATGATAAAAAACAGTCTCCGCGACATTAGAAGTCTATCTTTTAGCTTTGAAAAACATTTGTATGATAATCAGATTCGTCGAAATTAATGCACTGTTACCAATTATTTGTTTCATACAATCTACATAATATTAATCCCGTAAAACAGCGCTTGCCGGATCAGCTAGTGACGAAATATTGCCGTTTGAATATTTCAAATCACTCACTGTCAATTATAATTCGTACAATATCTCTATATTTTTAATTTCTCCACTCAATGTACGTCTGTATGAGAACTTTCGTAATTTAATTAATAAAATTATTTGCTGAATGTTAAGTTACATGATGAAGTGCCATGGGCTCGTTGGTTAATTGTTAGCAATAAAATAAAATAAACTTTATTCTCTTTAAAATTATTATTTAGATTCGGCGAAAACAAAAGAATAATGCTTGTCTGTGCGTCGTGATTCTAGAGAATGTTAAAACTAGCAACATGACCGAACCGAACACACACCAAAAAACCCCTTTTTTTAACATGTATGTTTATTATTAGCCATACTACAATATATATGGTTAATTATCGATGAGTCTTGGGTTCGATACAGGGTCCAATATGTTACTATCAACTTGATCAATTTTTTTTTTCAGAGGTGTTTGACTGGAAATCTGGATATTATATAGGTGGGAAGGAGGAGGAATTTCATCTGAGTCACCACCAAGTGAAATATTACCTTTCGAATGGTTCAAATCGCGTGCTAAAATTTTTGTGTAATGAGGTTAAATACTGTCAAGTTTATACGAGTGGTACACATTTAAATAAAACACTTTAACGGTTTAAATCGCGATATATATTAGTTAAACTTATTTGAAAATTATTTTCAACTACGGCCCGACGTTCCGGTTGCGTAACAGCAGCTGTAGTCACGGGGAGACTCGAGGAACGTCGGGCAGTAGTTAAAAATGAATTTCAAAGAAGTTTAACTAATATATATCGCGTTTTAAGCCGATAAAGTGATTTATTTAAGTGTATCGAGGTTGCTAATTTTAGCAGCGAGGGTCTCAATTAGCTCACCTTGCGTTCCAGCTTATTATCACGGAATGTCAGCGTAAAAGGACGACAGTGTTCCGCCCTCAGTCTGTCAATGGAACGGGCGTCAATTGCCTTCATCAGGTACTCGTTAACTTCATCTTCAGGCTTTTTGTTCTCGCTACTAACGTCCACCCCGATTCTGAAATAATTCATTGATTATAGCATTTTCTCATATCATTTTATTAAAAAAAACATAATTGTTATTAGCTTAACCCTTTCACGTTCAAGGGAAAATTTTTTCGTTTCCACAAAAATCGTTATCGATTATTCATATATTATTGAATCGATTTTTTTTGAAAGTCAAAATAAAACGTATGAAATTATATAATCTATACTGCTGATGTTTTCCAGTAATATAATCTTTTTACACCTAAAATAGCTAAAATAAAGTGTTGTATTCGCATAATTTAGTCTCAGCCATCTTATTAAAATTATAGTTTAGTTTAAATATCTCTAGTTTGAATTATTACTTAGCTTTTATCTTTATTCTATGTACGTCATACAATATATCTAGTTTAAATTGTGCATACCTGTTTAAGTGTTTTTGTATAAGTGTTTTTTTTTATGATAGAGGAGAACAGACCAACATGGGTTTTCACTTGATGTTACGTGAAATAACCCAGCCATATAACATCTGAACAAGATGTGCTGTCGTCTTATATTGGCTTTGGATAGTAAGAATTATTATTAGAAATGAGCTTCGTAAATTTAATGTATTTTAGTTGAAAAATCTTTTATAAATATCGAAACTGGTAATTATCATACACTGTCTGTAGTTTACGCAAGTAGTACACATTTAAATAAAACACTAACGGTAATACGCGATATATGTTAGTTAAATTTATTTTTAATTTCGGCTCGACATTTCGGATGCCTTGCAGCAGCCGTGGTCACGGGGAGACTAAAGATGAAGGATGTCTCTGACGTCAAAGTAAAAATTGCTATGCTAGCGCTATCTAGTCGAAGTTGGTATTTGGCGATCCGGCCAGTTTCGCCTTAAAAATAATTTTCAAATAAGTTTAACTAACATATATCGCGTTTTGAACCGTTAAAAGATTAACGTGTTGAATTTTAATGGTTATTGTTAATTCATTTTATTATTGCTATACTATCGTCACAAAAACAAATGAACTATGAAAAAGAATGGTCTTTTTATAGTATGGCTATACTTTGAATAAAAAAAGACCTACCAAATTTGTAACGACCTATATGTAAGTAATGAGACCAACTGTGTACGATTTGTATACTAATAAAACTATGGGAAAATTACATTATGATGTGTTACAATATTCCCTTTGAGTACTAGTAATTATACAACATTGGGGTGTGATTGTGCGGTTGTAGAACTCATCAAATGAAAATTATAAAAGCCAATTTCATCATATTGTACTGTTATATATTAAGGTTTAAAAGCTAAAAGGAAAACGTGCCACGTGCGTCATTCTTTTGTTTCGAACAGTTTACTTGTTTCATTCGAAAATTAAGAAACAAACTAATTGTTTGCAAACAAAAAACCGCGTTATTCTGAAATTATTTCACTTTTTAGCCTCGCAATGTTCGGCGGGGGCCTTTGTAATTGTAAGCCGTTGCCATGACTCGGTCGAATTAATTTCCTAAAACAAAGACTACCCGAAAATTGATTAATATAAAGGAACAATTCAAAATTGACGTCTTCAGTGCGGCGTTCGGGAATTCCGGGAAAAATCGACTTGTTTACTAAAGTTGATTGGGAAATGTTCTCCGACTTCGGTCGGCTTTTGTATGGCTTACGCTTTGGAAAGTATTTCGGGAACGTAGTCTTATACGGCTTGTCTTTGTGGCTTTCACAATAATCAGACTACAGCAATTACACGAGTACACTTTTGACAGTTTAAAACGCGAAATATATTCGTTGTTTTTAATTTATTCTGAATATAACTTAACGTTTAAAAGACAACTAATATTAAAAAGCTGAAGAGTTTGTTTAACGCGCTAATCTCAGGAACTTTTGCTTCCAATTAGAAAATTATTTTTGTGATGGTAGGACCATTTATAGAGGAGGCTCTAGGGTAAAAAAGCGAAAAAACAGTGAGAAAAAACGGGAAAAATTTTTAATCTTTGAGGGCTAGAAAACTATGTATGAAAGAATGACCCTTCTATAAATGATCTAAGAAAATCTCCGCGTATATTTCAGTCTTTTAACATTTACTTAAAAGAACAAAGAAGAAGGTGGTTTGCAAAAACAAATTTGGATGCCGAAATAACTATTTTACGCGGACGCAGTTAGTTTTTACTGAATTGCAAGTCGATTATGTATTGCCGTTTGAAAACGTAAGTAAATAATAAATAGTCACATGGTAAAGTCAAGTGACAAAATAATTATGGAAACCACCATTTTAGGAAAAAAGAACACGTGGAAACAAAGGCTGAAACATAAATGAATAAAATGAAACATAAATGAAAATAGTTCGAGATTTATAACTCGCGTTAAAAATACACGTGATTTTATCTCAACCAGAGGTATTTTTCAAGAGGAAAAACTTTGTTTCTCTTTCCTATGAACTGTATGAACTTATATATGTATGAGATACAATCAAAATAGTGATCTCTTTGGAACTTCTATTTATAACTGTAGGTTTTTAAATAAAATGTACACTATACTAGATAAACCTACCTACGATTACATCTGTAGCTAAATGGTTAAACGTGCTGCCTAGCATTGCGTTAAGCGCGAGGAGGTCCTGAGTTCGAATCCCGGAAAGAATAAATTGTTTCCGACGGGCAGGCCACAGAAGTATAATCAACTTGCCTGTAAATAAAACCCATCAGTAGAACGGACACAGAATTGTATTCGCCCCGTACCCCACGAGGGGAAACGGGATTTTACTAAATAAACACTGTATAAATAGGGAATAATAAAAGTTTTAACACCATATAGTCTAGTAGTAACTCTTAACGGTTTAAAACGCGAAATGTGATTATGGAACTTATTCACAAAATTATTTTATTAGCCACCCCATGAACTCCGTTGCAGAGTATCTGAATCGTAGTAAAAATATTTTTTAAATAAGTTTACCTAATGCGGTTAGCGATTTAAACCGTTAAAAGCGTTTTATTTAAATAGAACCATTTAATTAAAAAATCACCAATCGAATGTATCGAAAAGGCATAGTTAAATACTACCCGAGGAAGACAAAAGGCGAAATGAGCGAAGTAAATTGTCACGAGAGCATCCGTTTCGTTTGACGCGAAATGAATTGAATTGTTCCAATTTAAAATTAAATTCTACTGATACTTACTTTGACGAATGCTTGCCGTGTTGAGATCCGTGGCCCATGACTCGCATCTCCTTGGAAATGTTGCCGTTTAGCGAGAAGTTGTGTTGAGGTTTCTTATCCTGAATAACAATAATAATTTATTATCAGACCATCGCTCCATTCTTAAATCTTCTTAGTGAGATAGATGGGTTCGTAACAGTTTGACTCACGTATTGGTTTTAATTTTAATATTATTTCTTACTTTTGTCTGGAGATTATAAAGTTACGATACTTTAACGAGCAGTTTTAAGTGAATTTTTTTAAATATATTTTAAGCAGATTATTATAGCAAAATTAATATTAATAATAATCTACGAAGCTACTTTATCAAAAATGCTAGATAGACAGACATGACAATAGAATGCTCATCAAAACAATGGACATTATACTTTTAAATAAAAACGAATTCTACTGTCTGTAGTTTACGCGAGTAGTACACATTTAAATAAAGCACTTTAACAGTATAAGGCGATATATATTAATTAAACTTATTTCAAAAATCTTTTAATTACGTCCCGACGTTTCGGATGCTTTGCAGCAGCCGTCGTCACGGGGAGACTGAAGATGGAGGGTGTCTCTGACGTCGAAGTAAAGAACTGCTACACTAGCGCTATGTATTCCATCGAAGTTGGTATTTGGCGAAACTGTCCGGGTCCTTGCAGAATTGACTAACGGTGTCTTCGCGTTTGCTGGTATGCTGTTTTTGGAACCCAGAGTCTTTATATGGGATCCCAGGTGTTTAATAGCCTGAGGCCGTCTTCCCTATTGAATTTTTTGTTTCTTAATTTCAATTGCTTCGCATACCAATCTTCGAAAAAACATCGGGCCGTAGTTAAAATAATTTTCAAATAAGTTTAAATAATATATATCGCGTTTTAAACCGTTAAAGTGTTTTATTTAAAAGCAAATTCTGTTTTCGTATCTCCCAATGCAGTGAGTACGAGCCAGCGCAAGGATTATGTGAAAATCATAGCGCCTTTTGAAGGAAATCTATATTTAGAACGCGAACTCTCGATGGTCAAAGGGGCATTATGAGATTGTTGTTCTTATGTTTTATTTTCGTTGAGACGTTATCGAAGATACGCCTTGCCCGGTTTCCTTGGAAAATAACCAGCGAGTGACGTAATACTCTTGTGTTCTGATATAATCACTGTTGTCTTGTAATATACATTGTGTTCGTATGCAGATTTGTTGAAGGTTGAATTGATAGGTACATGTGAGATTCGAACCCAAGACATTTGGAATACCGCGCTGTTAATGCGATTAGTTACAGAGATCACCAATAGCGAATAATATCACTACATAGTATAAAGTAAAGTCGCTTTTTCACTCCCTATGTACGCTTAAATCTTTAAAATTACGCAACAGATTTTGATCCGGTTTTTGTAAATATATCTATTTAGTGAGTGATTCAAGAGGAATGTTTATATATATCATATACAAAGTTTACTAAGTTTAGTATCAGCATTGCACCCGAGCGAAGCCGGGTTGGAAAGGGGCGGGTTGCTTGTTTTTTTTTTATTATATCGTACCATTAAATAACTTAGTTGCATTATACCCTTAGTCGAGATAATAAATATTGAAATATTGTCACTTTGACGTTCGTAGTTTAAAAAGGACTTTGTGCACGTTAACTGATTTTATTTATACAATGCAATGTCCATCAAAATTGTAATTAAATTTCACCGTGAAATATTTCAACAGCTTTTGTCTGTGTCGCTATTCTTTTATGGTAGGGAAGGATAGACGTTCACGTTCACTTAATGGAAAGTTGAATACCCCGGCCATGTAACATCGTGACAAGTTGTGCTGTCGACCTTTTGTGTCTTTGGATGGTTATTAAACTTCACGTCTTTTTCACCTGGACAGTAGTTCGTGGCTCGTCCTACCAGATGAAGTCCATTGACAGAAATTTATAAATTAATTAGAAACATATTACCTGGTAGGGATAACACACGACCCGTTGATTTTTAGCCATATATTGCTCCAACGTCAAAAACAAATTCAGTTGAAATATACAACATAATTATTTAGTAGTTTGATTACAAGCACCTTATTTTGTAATATACACATGTAAATATATCATGGAATATAGAGGAATGTGTTATAATAAAGCTTTGATATGAAAGCTACAGATTTTACTATATATAGTCTTACCACGCGGCTGGTGTCGTCGGGAACGATGAGAAACGTTTCGATATTATGGTCCTTCAAGTAGGCATTTCGTTGCCCCCCATTTCCCGGTTCCACCTTATAGTCATCACCGAGACACGCCAATGTCTCTTTTGTTATATGTACTCGTCTGAAACAAGGAGATGACATGTATTTGAAGTTGAAATATTTTATACTTATAAACATATAGTTGATGCATTTTTTTTCGTTGTAGTTAATTCAACCGCATAAAACTATTATATATAAATATTTAATACAAATTAGAACCTCAATTCATCACCAATTGGTGTTATAGGATGCTACATGAATTCAACATACCTAAAACATACATATTTATTTATTAATCCCACAATCTAGCAAAATAGGGGGCAAAAAAGCTTGGAGCTTCGGTGCTTACTGATAAAATTAATTAGATTTCTTGTCTGAATTTCTCATTTTTAATAGTATAAAATGCGAAATGTAACAGTTAACTTTTTGACAATATATTTTAACCACGGCCCAACATATCGGATGCTTGCATTCTTTGCGGCAACTGTAATCGCGGGCGGAATAGAGATGAAAGGTCCCTAAAGATAAAAGGTCGCTAATGTCAAATCTGCTACGCTAGCGTTATTTATTTTCTTGTAGTTGGTGTTTAGGTAGACCAGCTGGGTCGCTAATATTTCTATACTAGAGCGTGTAGTACATGTTTAATTACAACACTTTGAACAATTTAAGAATGCTTCGCGAATTGTTATAGAAAGGATGGCCTTAAGAAGAAAGAATCCTAAGTGTTTGATATCTTAAGGCCCTACTCGCTAAACACTACTCGCGCAAACTAGAGACAATACTTAACTTAACTTAAATTTATTGTCTGCCAAAATATACCTCTTATATCTAGGTCGCGTAAAAATATGATGGTTAAAACCTTTTCTTCATTACAGCCCACCTAAACATACAATTCAGTTTTCACGTCGTTTTCGTAGACGCAGCATCGTAGCACATCATTTTGAGCTACGTAATTGCTACGCGCTACGAATATAAGTGCTACGGGTGGAAATTCGGTTGTAGGTCTTTTGCAAGTGTAGAGAATAATTCTATGTTTCTTTTTGAATATTAGTCTAACCAAAAGACAACTTTTTACTAGTTGTTTCGTATAAATTAGCATTATCTAATATATAAAATTCTCGTGTCACGGTGTTCGAACTTGAACTCCTCCGAAACGGCTCGACCGATTTTCACCAAATTGCATATGTGTATTGAATAGATCTGAGAATAGGACAACATCTATTTTTCATCCCCCTAAGTGACAAGGGTTGGGCACCCTTAATTTTTTTTTTAGACAAAATTTTTAATTTCTATTTTTTTATGATACAACATACAAAAATACATACAATCCTCAATTTTCACCCTTCTACGATCAACTCTTATTTTTTAATAGACATTTTAGTAAAATTATTTATATGGCAAAACAACGTTTGCCGGTTCAGCTAGTACATATTATATTTTTTTTGTTTTCTCTTACCATGTCATTTTATGTCCTTTAAGATTTTAATATACTTTTTTATTATTTTATTCTTAGTGTTAAGTTAATTGGCGTATAATCTGAATTTTTACTGTCATAGTTACTTCAGTCAAGAATAATTAATTACGAATAATTTTTATTTCTATATGAAGTTAATGTCATGTTGTGCGATTTTTATAAAAAAAAATGAAAGTGAAAGTAATGTATGTTGCGTATAGAACCTATATATCAATATTAGGACTTACATATCCTAATGTGATGCCATATATCGCTAAAAACGTGTATAACGAAGTAGTCAAAATTTAAACCTAAAACGTTAAAAATCCAACTCAATCTGTTTCTATATTACGTCATCAGGGTATAGTTTCATGAATTTCATTGCACGCTGAAAATTATAAATTCCTCATTTCATTTCTTGAAGTGTCTCATAATAGTTGCAGTGCCCCGGTTTTTGTAAAACTTGGCGATTAAAACCAGTAACAAAAGTTCATCAGTTGTTTCCGAACTCGGCGCTTTAAGTGGCAAATGTAATTTTTGAATTTGGAACATATTTTTGTAATGATTTACGCCGTTAGTTAAACTATTTTTATAGACCGCTAGTTGAATACAAAAAAAGGGGGTAATTTTGTCACTGGTTACATTTTTATATTAAATTCATCACAAAAAATTTAATAACCCCCCTTTACAAGTAATAAATAACACAACACTGAATTGTTCAAAAGGAAAACATTGACTCCTCAGCCAAGTCGTCGGCACAACCAATCTCCGTCAAAACGAGATGCACATAAAGCCTTGCCACAACATCTTCTTATCCCCTCCTTGATGACGTCATCTCAGTATTCCTCTAGCGTAATAATTGTTAAATAATTATTCTACGTCTTTGTATTTATATCTTACCCGGCAACTCCACCACTCTCCATGTAGTTGGCGAGAGTGACGTCATTAGACCATACGTCAAACTGCCACTTGCGCAAGCCCAGCACAACGCAGTGGACGCGTCCAGTGTGAATGCCCACGCGCATGTTGACGTTGACAGCCATAACCTCACGGACCAATCTGCGCAGGGTAAAAAATATTTACGAGAACAGCTAGAGCATGATAATATGATACAAGCGTTAGACAAGCATGCAGTTCATTTGATGGTAGGTGATATAATCTAATATATATTATAATATATATATATATAATCTAATAGCATGTAAACAAGATGCGCGGTCGACTTATTTTTTGGTTATTCGGCAATCCACAGACTGAAACCAAAACGTGATTAAACTTCACGGCTCTCTCATCTGTGGACGGTGGTTGTGGAAATTTCGATGTTCCCACCACCATCGGTCCATATTCCGGACTGAGTCCAACATGTTTGAGAAAAATTATAAGTTGATTAGAAAAATGTTGAAGTCGCTGCGGATTGAATCCACGACCCATTGATTATTAACTAATTGCTACCACAACAACTACGACCCTGTCAAAAATGAATATCCAAAGACAAAATAGGCCGACAGTGCATCTTATTTAGATGTCATAAGGCCTATTTCACCTATCACCAAGAGGGCCCCATGCTTGTCTGTTCTCCTCAAACATTAAATGAAGCGCACATTATGTTATCTGTGCTATGTAGCACAAGAAAAGATCTACTACTGTAGATTGGAAAGGAATGCAAAGATAACCAAACAGATTGGTTTTGATTAATTTTTATATTTGATTTGCGGTGTGTTAATTAACTGTAATTAGAAACTTGGATTCAATCTATAAATTAATTTGCGTCTCTGCCAGCTTCATTGTTATCGAGCGCCGGTTTCGAGAAAAGCAATAACGAAGTAATTTAATTTTCAATTTCTGCATCCCGATGACGCGTTCTACGTAAAACACGCTGAATATACGTTTCATTTATTACACCACTAGCGACCCGCCCCGGCTTCGCTCGGGTGCAATGCTGATACACTAGAAAAGAACTATGAACGCTATGTATAAAACACCTTCTTGAATCATTATGTATTTACAAAAATTGCTTCAAAATCCGTTGCGTAGTTTTAAAGGTTCAAGCGTAAATAGGGACAGAAAGGGCGACTTTTATTTTATACTAAGTTTTTACGTTTTCAAGCATTTGAATCGTGTTGAAAACACTTTAACGATTTAAAACGCGATATATAAACTTATTTTAATTACGGCCCGACGGATGCTTCGCAGCAGCCGTGGTCACAGCGAGACTAGAGATGGAGGGTCTCAAAGTAACTGCTACGCTAGAATATGTAGCGCGTTTTAAGACGTTAGTGTTTTATTTAAATGTGTACTACTTGCGTAAACTACAGACAATTTGGGTTTTTAGAGGCGCATAGAATATTAATTCATGGACAGAGAAATATGGGTGTCCTCTAATTCTAAGCCTATCTAACTAAGGTGCGCTTTTGGCCTATGTTGTCTTAGGAAATTCTGAAATCCTTAACAATTAACACTCATTCGATTAGAATAGATTTGGGAAATTTAAAAATCGACAACATTACAAATTCAGCTACAGAGTTCAAGACGTCATCTTCGAATTTTTTCAACCTACTGATACATGCAGCTCTCGCGCAATGCAATTTCAACCTTAGCACTTGCATATAATACATGACTTAAGTTTAATTAAATGAAACATCACTCACGCAATAGCGTCGATCATATCTAGTCCCATTTCCACACAGCATTTGGCATGGTCGTCTCTAGCTTCGGGCAAACCCGAGACGCAATAGTAGCAGTCACCGAGCAACTTGATGCGAAGGCAGTGATGCTCCGCAGCAAGACGGTCAAACCTAGATAACAAATATACAATTCTACACTATAATATTTCTATTAGAATACTAATATAAAGATGGGCAGTTTGTTTGTTTGTTTGAACGCGCTAATATATTATAATTGGAACTACTGGTTCGAATTGAAAAAAATATTTTTGTGTTTAGAGGATTTATCGAGGACGGCTTAAACGAGCGAAGGAACAGTGGGAAATGTAGAAAGAACGGGGGAAATTATTCATCTTCGAAGGTTTTCGTTACTCGAACGATATCGTAGGTAAAGCGATAATATGTAAAGCGGAAAAGGTGTGCAAAGACAAATTTTGACGCCCAAAATAACTTTTCTACGCGGACGAAGTCGGTGATACGCAGCTAGTGGTGTGATATCAGGAAAGTATTTATTTAATAGATATTTAATATTAGATGACAAACGTTCTTTTCACGTACGAAAAAAGTTAGAAAAATATTGTCGCAGACATATCTTTAGATTATTTAAACTATATAATAATTAATTCCTACATATTTTTTAGTAATTTCAGCCCTTCGCAGCGCACGCAACGACAACCCTCAAAGTTTAATAATTTTCTCCGGTTTTTCCCGCATTTTCTTCTGTCGACCGTAGCAACCTATCTCGATAAATAGTCCAACAGAATTGGAACTAGCAGTTCGTAAGATTAGAGTGCTCAAACAAACAAACTCTTCAGCTACAAATAGGAGTATAGATCATACTATTACAAAACATGAGTCTGAACATAATGTTAGCTTATTATCCGGATATTGAACTTTCCACAAGCGAATCTACAATAGACCCAATGTTGAACCCGCTTCTGTAGGGGATGTTTCATTTATGCAAACTTTACATACTCACAGCGGGCTTTATAAATTCGCCTTTTACAATCATTCAGGGTATTAAATGTACCTAAAAGTGACATCCGCCGGGGTATAGTGCGAACACGTTTATGTATCCGGTCCACGGATCTGTTCTTTTACAGGTGCGTTGTTCGGGGCTTTGTGCCGAGTTTGATCGAAACAATCTTTTGTTTCGCCTGGATTTGAACCCTGGGCCTCCGCTTCACACTTGCAGGGCAACACGTTTCACTATTTATTCATATTAGTTCTTTAAAGACCAAAAAATAACATCGGTCGATTATTATAAGAAGTTATATTTTGTTTTAAGAGGAAATATTGTTTTTAGGCTTTGTGTAAATTTTATTTTATTGTAAAAAAAATATTTTATAATGTGATTATAGTATTTTTATTTTATAGTTGCTTATTTTAAATGTATACTTGTATTTCCCCTCTATTAGCTTCCTCATTATTTCTGTGATTCTATCTGTCATCTAAGTGGCATCTGAAAATCAGCGCTGAAAAAATACTGTATTTTCTGCAACAGCTAAGTGATTTATTTATTTATGATGTAAGGTAGTGTATGTGATATTTGCTGACTCATATTCTTGTTGCGTAATAAATTATTTTAATTCAAATTAAAAAGAGATTTTATATTATACTTAAAATGTCATAATTACTCCAAGGAAATAACTTGATATTTCAGTCGGTAAAAGTAATATAATAACTTTATAAAGCTAACCAGATGGCAATAAAAGGAGGCTATAACTGAATTTCATTTCAGATACCGGTTTCGTCTTTATGATTTAATAATGTGACGAATAAACTGGACAAGATGTGGAACGTCTCAGGAATTTCTATAATTTTGAATAATCAAGGGTTCGATATTTGAAAACTGTAATATTTTTCACATGTTTTTGCACATGATGGCACTATATAAAATAATAAATTGAAGACATAAGTAGAGCACAGCACGTTAGGATCAAGTTAGGAACACATTAATAATAATAAGCCTTTATTACATTAATTATTGGTATTTTTCTCCGAATCGTCCGCTATTTCCTTTTCAAACTTGGGATGTGTTAACGATCACGATATGTTAATCTTGATTTTTACTCCTATTCGGCGTCTAATTCGGTTACTATCCGGACACGCATTTGGAGCTGGTTTACTATTTTCAGTCCTGTTTCCACTGGTTTTGTACGATTTTCTCTTTTGTATGGATTTTGAAACGGAGCACTTCGATACGACGCTCCCTCTCGCCATAAAAAAACATATTATTAAGGTACATTTTGGACCCGATCGGAACTAAACAGATGACCCGTTAATACCAATGTGCCGGTCAAAATTATCTACCTCAGTTGCATTACCCGCAAACATTTCTAGGATTCGTCTCAATTATTGATTTGTAGGAGAGGTAATATCGGGGGCGATGTTTGAACCGTAACATAGGGGACGCGAAGTTTCCATAACGAATGCCGCTTTGCTTCTCAAAGAAAGTATGGTCAGCAAAAAAAAACTGTAATATTTTTTATTCTATTATTTTTAACAAAGACAATTTTACCGCTTTTGTCATCGTAATTGTTAATTACAACGTTAATGAAAACCGTAAGGCCGTGAACGCACTATCACAACAAAAATGTTCGTGTGACAGGCAACTATTTCCATTTACGAGCAACGGATACCGTGTATTTGCAGACCGGTGATGGCTAGCTAATTAAATTTTAAACTGTGCAGACAAAGCTATTTCGATAATGTTTTATATGTAACTGTACTGGACGCTGGGGCTATGTTCAGGATTAGACGAAATTGGAATGCACATTTCAATATAACACATTAATAGTTTAAAAGGCGATATATTTAAACTTATTTGAAAATTATTTTAACTATTGCCCGACGTTTCGGATGCTTTGCAGCAGTCGTGGTCACGGTGTGACTGATTATATAGCGTCTTAAACCGTCAAAGTGTTTTATTTAAATGTGTACGACTCGCGTAAATTACAGAGAGTATTTCGAATGCTTTCGATTATAGGAACAATAATTAAATTATTAAACAAACGATACACTGAATACGGTAAATATTACGGAATCCTTATAGCGTTGTTTTCATGTTGAGCGAATAATTTTGCCGAAACATTTCCTAAATAAACAAAAGAACTCGTGTTGTTTTTTCCTCGAGCTTTGTCTGAATTAGCGTTATAATAATGTATGAGAATAACGAGAACAGATTCTTAAATAACAAGTTATTAAATATTATTTGATCGTGGGCTGAGTAGAACAATCTATCTTATTCCGCCACTATTATTATTATAATTTATAATATCACTAGTGAAGTAGTAAATAGTAGTAAAATCGTATATTAAGCAAAGCTAATTGAAAAAAGTTATTCTAACGTATCAATAGTTAAATGAAAACAATCAGATTTGGAGGAACCCGCTCTAACAAGAAAAAATGCGTATATTTAAAGTGGTATGTGGGTGTGTTAATACTTGCCATTGCGAGTTTTTCCAGTTCTTGTCGTGTAAATAAATTTTAGAGTTTTCAATTTTATTGATTTAAATAAAAACTTTAACGGTTTAAAAGTGATATATTATATTATTTCTTTATTATTAATTAACTAATATATCGCGTTTTAAATTTAAGTGTGTATCTATGCGCGTAAACTATAGACAGTATTTATTTTATGTGATGTTAATATGTATGTATGTATGTAGATGTAACTACCTACATGAATAAAGAATTTTTGATTTTATTAGCAAAGAAAACTTTTTTGTGCGTTGTAATAAGAATAATAAATGCATATATAAACAAATTACCAATAAGATATCAAAATATTTTCTCGCGAAAGCGATTGCGAGCCACGAGCTTGGTATAGATTCGAACGACAACGTCACTATCAACACCAATGACGTCATTGAATACATAAAAGTATTTATTTATTTACTTATTACATAATATACATATATACTATATTTGCCATGTTAAAACCACCTTGTGTACTCCGCTGAAGGCTGGGTTTTTACTAAAACCTACTAAATAGTTGCTAAACAGAGAAATTTAAGTTAAATAAAATTTAGTTGGTTAATTTTTCGGCTCCTGAAATAATGTAATACTTTGTGATGACAAACACTATTTTTCTTTCTACCTTTCATTACGCCTTTCTACTTTAAGACTTTCTAAATAAAAATACAAATTTTTATCTTATTATTACTTTAAGCATATTAAAAGTCCTACAACTGGACATCAAGCCTCCCATAAGTGTATTGTAGTCTAATCGAATTTTTCGTTGATAACAACTGCACATGTGACTTACTGAATTTCGTGCTATAGTGAACTTCTGACACAGTCTCTTGTGTATTCTGCACGACCGAAGCAATTGTTTCCCTGTCATTCAAACCCAAGACCTCTTGCCATGCAAAGCAGCACGTTTAAGCATAAAAAAATACTAACCTTGCAAATAATTCGTTGAGCAGGCGTACCAGTTCCTCAGCAGTGCATTGGTCAGAGAGCGATGTGAAACCACAGATGTCCGCGAACAGGATACTACAATTAATGTCTTAAAGTCAGTGTTTAAAATATAAAAACGTCGGGTACTCACTACTAGCGAGCCGTAACCGTAACTAGAATATTATATTGTATTGTATGCTATAATTACACTAGCTCAATTAACGAAACATAGCTCAATTCGTTAGAGCAGCACGGAATTCTGTGTGTGCTGGTTGTATTCCCGCTTGTGTCATTATTATTTTTTGAATTTAAATCGATTTTTAAATTAATAGAGTAATTTTCTGATGTATCATAAGATTAATATGTTTTCTAAGTGCTATTGTAGATTGACATTATATATTTTGAAAATCGAATTAGACTAGAATGATAGAATAGCAAGGGACACAGTGAATGCCGGTTCGAGTTCCGCCCGTGTTATCAATTTTTTTTTTTATATCTAGAAAAAAATTACCATATATTTTATAAACACTGATCAAGACATAATACTCTATCTGAGTAGATCATTCCTGCACTCAAGAACTATCAAAGTGTAAAATAAAATTTACTGCCCGGTACAGTAGCTGTTTTAGAGGGCAACAATTTTTTTATTTTTTGATATGTAATTAGTAACATTATTATTTTATTTGTAATTGTTTGTTGTCATGTTTGTTAAATGTCTTGTGTTGTTTCCGAATAAACGTTTTCTATTCCATTCAAATAAGTGACAATCGCAAGGGGCTGCAACCCTTGCACAACTGGGAAATTTAAATTTTTCAAAATCCATGGCTATTCTGTCGCGCAAGCCTAGAACGGGTAGGTGGAGCTCTCATAACCCGAATGAACCAGTGAGGGCAAGCCCAAATAAATATCATTATGTAAATGCTGAATTCTGTGTGAATAATTTTGTTTTAGATTCTATTCGAAGAGCTTTATCATGTGCGGAATACGAAGTGAAAGAAGCTTATTGCGCATTGCCTATAGTTTACGCGTGTAGTACACATTTAAATAAAACACTTTAACGGTTTAGAACGCGATATATTAGTTAAACTTATTTAAAAATGATTTTTAACTTCGGCCCGACGTTTCGGATGCTTTGCAGCAGCCGCGGTCACGGGGAGACTAAAGATGGAGGATGTCTTTGACGTCAGAGATTACGGTGTTATAAGTATTTTATTGCATGTAGATTTCTCTTGTGGTGTACAGCTGAAAAAGCCGTGAAGTTTAATCGCGTTTCGGTTTTAGTGAGTGGATTTTTCAAATAATTAAAGTCGAAATAGGTCGACGGCGTATCTATTTATTTTGGTGTCATATGACTGGCGTGTTTCACGTACCATCAAGTGAATCAGACGCTTGTCTGTTCTCCTCTATTATACAAATTGTTCTACGATGTGATATAATACTGTCAAATATATAATTGAACTGCATAAACAATCTTCATTTAAAGTGTTTGATTACGCATTATATACTATAACTGTGTAATAAATTTTATTCTTGTTACATAAATGTCTAGCTTAATACTTTCGCCCTTTATACGCGCATAAAAGTTTTACGCATTTTCGTGATCTTCTTTTAGGAAAAGTGTAAAAATAGTGCCTCACTATATACACTAATTTTTATTAAGAATGTTTTCTTTTATGTATCTAAATACTTTTGTAACGGCTTAAATTAGAATTGTATTAGTTCTATTTAAATACAAATACATTGTAAATAAGTTTAACATACATTTCGCGTTTTAAACCGTTAAAAGATTTTTATTTAAATGGACAATAACATGAAAAAAAACAGAAAATACTTAGTTACTAACTAATAATTTAATGTCTCCCTTATTTTTTTAACACTTTCAACTGTGTAAAATGCGAATTATATTAGTGAACTTAACTACGTAACCACGGCCGCAAAGCAATCAAAAGCTCAGACCATGGTTAAAATTAGTTAACGATTATATATTAGTTAAATTTTAAATAGCACTTCACATGTTATTTAAAATCTGTACTACATACATAAACATATTCTGACGCCGTGTACTCACCTGACATTTTCGTATCTCTGTATGTAGATCTTGTGGAACTGCTCCTGCCGCGGCTGGTTCGCGATGTCAGCCTTCATCTCCATGGCAACGTGGCGAGGCAGCACAGAAAGCAGCAAGCGCTCCTATGAACGGAATGCATCGGAACACTATTAATTATTTATTAAAAATCTCTTCTTGAAAGTATTACAGAGTACAAAAATATAGAGATTAAAGCTATCTGCATACCCTATTTAAGGTAGGCACAGACAAAACAAACATGGTACAGACTAAATATAAGGTACAGTACTAATAAATTATAGTCTAAAACAGAGAGAGAAAATATGGAGGTGGGGGTGAGTGTGTGTGTAAGTTTTATTGCCTGGAAACGTTTGTATCGTGAATTCCAAATTTGAAAATTTCGTGCTAATAATGGCTCTGTATCTAAGGGTAGCTACGAAATTCCACCTGCTGAAAAGTTGATGTTTTTAATTAAGAAACTAAATTTCATTTGTTAAGATTTAATCATAATTCATCGTATTTTTTCGTATTTGCTTTCAAGCACAGTGTTTCAAAGTGAAACTTGGTAAATATTTGTCGGAATTTCTTTTACAATCGTATAACTAGTTAGATTGAATGATAAGCGAAGAATTGAAACTTGTACGAACAAGTTTTAAGTCCAATCCGAGTTTGAAAAGATAATTAAATCGAATGCCAATAAAAACTTCCGTTTTCAACTCTAATCTGACATTGATCACTGCAGAAGAGAAAAAACTTCAAAGTCTGCGGAAACCGTAATACTTTTTCGAATACGCTTCGAAATTTGAGCATAATTTTGACAACCTTCTTTGACATAATCGCTCTTGTTGTACTGATCGAGCAGCGGCCGGCAATAGTTGTATGAAAATCCGTATCTGTCGTGTAAAATAAATTTCTATCTAAAATTTGTCGGGTAATTTAAAAATAGAATTATCTTCTACTACACAAGATGGCGACCAAGGAGGTAACTTATCTTATTTAAATTTTGAATTTTTCGAATCTTTGCCGCGTAAAAACTTATTGTTATTAGAGAAAAGTACTGTACGAGCCTTGGCAGCAACTAGTCATGCTATCATATATATAAGAACAGCGCGACGTAAATAAAATTGTACCATGCAGCAAAAATTCTCCCCTGCAGCTGTAATACCAGATTGTTTGTTCATAAATAAAGTGAAGGGTGGATTCCCGCCTAAACCTCCCATTAAGAGGATATGCGAGGGCATAAAGATAATCAGTCCTGACAAAATACTTTTTCATCGCGTAGACAGCAGTGTCACCCAAACTGTCATGGCCGATACCGGTATTAAACGTCGGGGGGTTTGAGAAACGATTTGTTACCAATCAATCGATTAAAAATCATATAGCTAAGTATAATAAATTAACGTCAAAACAGTTAATTAAAAATTCTACATTTACATTTCCTACAAGTTACCAATTAGAGCGTAGAACGAACAAGAACTCGCCGCCACTCCTTTTACTGACAAGTTTTTGTTATAACCCTTACGCACTTAATGTGTACATTTTTTTTTGTTAGAGCGTAAACCAAGATGAGTTTTATATTATAATGAAGAAAAGTACATTTAAAAAAATACTTGGTTATAACATATTATGGATGTACTCAGACTGTCTCTGTAGCCAAATAGTTAAATGCGGCCCTTAGTATTCCATTGAGCGCAAGAGTTCCTGAGAGGAGGCACATACGTCGGATCGTTACTTGTATGTAAAAGAACCAATCAATGAAATGGACATAAAAATATGTTCGCCCCATGCCCCATTACTTAAAGAACCTAAACGGTTACTTGTTTAGCGTTGTATTACCTCACTCCGGTTTCTAAATAACCGGTTTTTTTAGTATATACAACGTATTTCATTTTCGATTACTTTGTGGATTCGATTTACGATAAATAGAAGATTGTTACTTGAAAAAAATACACATGTTTATTTAAACTCATTTAAGATGTAAATAAGTGAGTAATCTAATTCTATAAAGAGTTTGTTTGCGTGTCCTTGAACGCAGTATTCTGCGTTCAAGGACACGCGCTAATCTTAGGAACTACTTGTTCGAATTAAAAATCTCTTGAATTAAAAATTGGTAAAATTATTCACCTTTGAGCGTCTCCGTTGCGTATGTTGCGGGAACGGTTCATACCCACAAAGAGTATATTAAAGAATTATTCCTCTTTTAGTGACCTAAAAAATGTCCGCGACAGTATCAATACATCTTTTTAAGATTAAATTGCAAGAATGACGGGACGCGGTTGTCTTCGTGGATAACAGCTATAATTTAAAAAGATGAGGAGGGTTGAAAAAATAAACTTTGACGCTCAATATAACAATTCGCGAATGATGTCGCGGGCACAGCTAGTATAATATAAATAGCGCTTATATTGATGTACAAACAAAATACCTACTGTGTTAATTATAAGGATACCATGAGGAATGATCCGTGCACAATCAGATTAGCAAAATCTATTAGGCTGGTAGTTAATCGTATAACTGGCACTCACGAAAATCGCGTTTATCAAACGAAATTATTTTTTGAAAATTTTATTTGTCAAATGCAATGAATGTTATTAAAATTTAAACGCGTAAGCTTAAATTCAATCGAGATTAACGAAAGCGTAAAGTCCATTTTGAAACTAGTATTATAAGCATTAATGAAGTTCTCATCTGTATTTTGCAATTAAGTCGACACAACTGAAAATTAAAACCCGGTCTCTTATATGATATTGGTATAGAACGACAGAGAAGATGAAAGGTGGAACACCCCAGATGTACGCAACGTCAAGCTAATAAATGATTTTGACTTGACTTTGACTTTTGACATATTTTGAGTTTGGATATTCGAGAAACTAAGGACTGTAACCGACACGCGATTAAACTACACGGCTTTTTTATCTGTGGTCGGCGGTTCGTTATCCTAGACTTTGGAGTTTCATATTTCTACCATCAATTCAATATCGATATTACAAGGTGAAGGCCACCATGTTGTTAATTGATTTAAAAAGTGCTCGGCCTCGTAGGGATCGAATCCACGACCCGTTGATTATTCGCCATTGCTTCTATGAGACAAACGAGATCGTTACAGGGTTTCTCTACCAGTTTCACTGTGCAAACACAACTGCTTGGAATAGGAGAAAATACGAGTTTAGTGTGATTTATTGCTTGTTAGACGGTATAAATAGAATTCGTGGGCGAAAGCTAGTAGAAACAAATGAACAAAAATCCTTGCTTCAGTATGAGTAGAAAACAAAACGCTATCGATGTAGCTAAAACAATTATAGGAATCTCGATCGATTTTTCTCAATGATAATTAATCAAACCTTTGAACGTCAAAACTGTAAGAATATCGAGAGTGCAAAAATCACATAATGCCTTGTGAGGTAGATAAGCATAATAATGGTTACATTAATAGCAAATATTTTGCATCTGTTTAAATTAAAATTTAATTATAAATTGAAAGAATTTAGCTACCGAGTCCTACACGTCATCGTCAAACTTTGCGCCTCTCGCGTATCTGTTTGTTTTGTCTTCACAGTGATGTGACCAGCTTAAAAGACATCGTGAGAAGTAAGTGGACTTTAAACGTGTGTAAATAACGAGAGAAATCACCAGCGGACGATTGTTCTATAATCTAATAATGTATAGTAAAGTAGTAAGTTGTAGGCGATGGTGAAAAAATGTTAAGGAAGCAAATAAACTACCTGTTGTTGGTTTTCGCGTTGCGTGACAAGACGGGCCTCGACGCAGTCTCGTGTTTCGAGAAAGGCCCGACGTTGTGCCAGCTCCCGTGGATGATGAGTCATGATGCCGGCGATGTTGCAAGCGATCAGGGTTGCCAGGTTACACAAAATCTAAGCAAAAGAATGTTATTACTATAATTTTATATATATTACTAAGGAATAGTAATTTAATAATAGGTTCTCATTTACTATCTAATCTATTGTTTCGTCTACTTTTACTGTACAGTGCGATAAGAAGTAGAAAAAAACTCATGAAATGGTTTTTAAAATAATAAAGAATATTATTCAAATAAAACACTTAACGGTTTATAATTCTAAATATATTAGCTTATTAAAATTAGTTTAACAAGGGGGCTAGCGTGGCAGTTTTGACAATAGGGGCATCTTCCATCTTCAGTCCCCCTTGACCATGACTGCTGGAAAGTATCCGATATGTCAGAGGGTAGTTAAATAAAATTAAAGATAACTCTCTTTAAATAAAACACTTTAACGGTTTAAAACGCGATATATTAGTTAAACTTATTTGAAAATGATTTTTAACTTCGGCCCGATGTTTTGGATGCTTTGCAGCAGCCGTGGTCACGGGGAGACTGAAACGTCGGGCCGAAGTTAAAAATCATTTTCAAATAAATTTAACTAATATATCGCGTTTTAAACCGTTAAAGTGTTTTCTTTAAACTACTGTAAACTTTGTACTACTCGCGTAAACTATAGACAGTATATAACTCTCTTTATATTTATAAATAAACATAATATATTTCGCAATTTTAAGCAAAACCGTAAAAGTGCTTTATTTACATCTGTACTACTCGCGTAAACTACAGCGCGATACAAAGATTGCCAAGACTATAACGGTTCCTTTCGTCTTACCTATCTAATGATCTTTACTATCTAATAATCTTACCTATCTAATGAGCTTACCTATTAAATAATCTTACCTATCTAATGATCTTACCTGGGTGTCAGTTGATTTGGTCATCATGATTTGCGCGCCAATGTTAACGACTCCAAGGACTAGGCCGCCTATCGTAGCCTCGTGTAGCCTTAGAGGTAGAGTGGCGTAAGTCACGTATGTGAACAGCGCACACATCCCCACGCTAACGTTCATTGATCTAGACAGAGAAGACAAAATTATGACTAAAAATTATGTCTACTACTACGTAATGCCTAGTATTGCGTTAAGCGCGAGAGGTCCTGCGCGAGGGACACAAAAAATTGTTTCGATCGGGCAGGGCACAGAAGTCTGATCCTACTGCTAGCCTGTTACAGAACGGATCAGTGAAACGGACACGAAAATGTTTTCGCCCCATGCCCCACGAGGGCGAAACGGGATTTCATCGGGTTGTTTTCTGACCCGGGGGGAATTTCGTTATTTCTATCACTCATTCGATATCAAGATTCAGACGTAGTTCAACGTGTTTTATATCAATTATAAATTGATTAGAGAAATGTTGGATCCGGTGGGAATCGAACCCGTTGATTATTAGCCGTACTTTGCTATCTTTACTCCAATCCCGTCATTCGTGAAATTATGCCTCTTCAAATGAGGTTTATAGCGGTTTACGCTTTGCAGTGTAAGCCGCTTGGAAAAACTTGTACTTCATCAGAGTAAAGTTAACCATCGTAACACACTTTTAACGGTTTTAAACGCGAAATTTATTAATGAACCTATTTACAATATATGTTAACTAACAGCCTACGTTTCAATTGCTTCGCAGGAGTCGCAGTTCCAGTTCCCCCGTTACGTGAGTAATTTCGCGTTTATAACCGTTAACAATGTTTTATTTAAATGTGTATTACTTGCGTAAGTCTTACGTCACGACAAGAAGATAAATGTAAAAAAGGAAAGCCAAGTTCAATACAAAATTATGAATGCTGAGTTCTATGCAAAATGCAAGTATGCACTTATTGAAACAAAATAATATTACAAACAAGTAAGAAACTGTATTACTTTGCTTTCCTGGATATGTACGGGATTGTTGTTATTTAAAAAGTGTGAAATTTTAAAGCTAATGCGTTTACGTTAAATAGGTTAGTTATAGAGGAGTCAAAAGGGACACCAAATAGTTCGTGTAAGGTTCTGCCTAGCCAGTTCGTTTGCTTGAACTCGGCTTGACTAGATTTGTATCGCGTTTTGAAGTTTTCCTGTTCCAACACTAGACTAGTTACGAACTGTACACAAAGTGTGGGAATCCCGAACATATTTAATTTGGAGTGACATATCGTTAAAATTTCTCAAGTTAAAATTAGATAACGTGAGGTCGGACCCAAAAGTTGCTGATTGGGAACAGGATAACAGCACCGTTCACCGCAAGCCCCCGAAAATCCCCACACGAACTTGCAAAAGTTAGTTCCAAATAGATTTATAATCGGATAAATTTTATCACGCCGCTGTTTCCAAATGTGCTGGTTCTGATATGATGATATACATCAATCAAGAGCGCTGGAGCGAGTGTCAAAGACATTCGTCGACCATGAATGCATTTATAATTTATTATTGTCTACAGTATACCCGAGTAAAAACACATTTGACGGTTTAAAACGCGAAATATAGTAACATATCATTAGTGTTACACATCGAACTTCGCTAAAAAACTGAAATGGCGTTGGGCTGACCATGTAGCAAGGATGTCTAGCACGAGGTGGGCTTCAAGAGTTACCCAGTGGAAAGGACCTCCAGGTAAGAGGAGTAGGACACGCTTGACACGCTGGAAAGACAAGTAAGAAAGAACTGCTAGCATAGACTGGTGCAAACCGGGGTTTTTCCTGATTTATAAGTTTTTGAACATATATTTAAATTACTAACATACTCTAATCATATCACGAGTTTACTATTATGTATAAAGGTAATCAAATTAGTCACTTATTTAAACACACATAGAAATAAGACACTTACGGTTTAAAATGCGATAATTATTTATTAGCTTATTATTCATTTATTTTAAATATGGCCCGATGTTTTGGATGCTTTGCAGCAGTCGCGGTCACGACTGAAGATGAGTGTCAAAGACAAATCTGCTACACTAGCGCCATCTGTGCAATTAAATCCTTTGGCTAATTCCTTCGACGTAGCGAACTCCCGCAATGGAATTTCAGAGAACAATAGAGTCCATCAAACTTCACGTTTCATAATACACATATCATTTACCGTTACGAGATATTACCGGTAAGGGGGTGGGGGGGAATGCTCTAAACAAGCTTCAACTGAAATTCGGCTGTTTATATACTCGTAATTTGGGAAACCGGACGCCTAATGCGAGCTCTCAATTTCACGAGCGGATTACACGATGCAAAGCGTGGACCGTACATCGATAAGCCCCATTTGAAAAAGCATAATTTAGTGTTTAAAACCTGGTCATTTTTAATGTTAAAAACGCGAAATAAAATATTAAACTTTCTTCCAACAGTGTATTTTATATGCACGTCAATATTGCGGCTTAAAAGAGAAGAGGTTTAAATAAACTACTTTTAACGGTTCAAAACGCGAAATACTTTATTTACTTATTTTCATTTACATATTTCAATTAAGGCGCTACGTTTCTGATGCTTTACAGTAGTCGTGGTTGCGGTGAACTAATACTTTTTTGGTTTAATCCGTTAAAAATGTTTTATTTAAGTATGTACGTAAAACTTAGACAATAGTTAAAAAATAAGAGATATGAGTGCCCTTTCACACGAGGTTGAAAAAGCTTTTCCACTTTTTCATTTGTAAAATAATGATATTATAAATATTACGTTACTATGTTAAAACGTTAACCTTACACGGGTCCGAATACAAAGTAACAGTGGAAACAAACACAAGAGGCTTTGTTCCTTGTATGAGTAAAGTGAAAACTTTATCCTTGGATATTAATTTTTAAGCAGGTGTACAAACTTAACTACCTCTGGTAGAGGTCAGAATGTCAACCTGCCCTTAAAAAGGGTCTGGATTTGAAAATTAAAAGGATTCATTCTTCATTCACTGATATATGAATTCATCTAGTCGATTACTTTTGGGCTTCGTTAACTTTTAAAGATTATGAATAAGGAAAAATATATATTTTCAATTGTTACGTAATGTGTATATTATGTTTTTGAATATGGAATCTTGAATTTACACTAACATTTGACAACTTAAATATTTCTCACATGACGGCACTATCTATACTTATGCTTACTAATATATAAAGCTGAAGAGTTTGTTTGTTTGTATGAACGCGTTAATCTCAGGAACTACGGGTTCGAATTAAAAAAATATTTTGTGTTGTGGCTATAGGCTATAAAACATCGCGCTGTGACTAATAAAAGCAAAGATACCGCGTGAAAAGTGAACAAAACGGGGAAAATTTTCATTTCTGTGGGTTCAGTTGCGTACGCTGCGAAAACAGATCAAGATTACAAAAAATGTATATGAAAGAATTATTTATCTTAAAATGATCTAAAAAAATTCCGCGACGCTATGTCTATCTTTTAAGATTAGCTTGCAAGAACGACGGGAAGGGAAGCGATCGACGTCGTGGCTAACAGCTTTAGCTTATAAAGATGACGGGGTTTGCAAAACCTAATTTGGATGCTTAAAATAACGATTCTCGCGGACGAAGTCGCTGGCACAGCTAGTATGAAACAAAAAACGAAAATGAAGTGAAAACAATTAGGAATTTTTCTTCCACCTATCAATACATGCACACGCGCAATGTACACTAATATAATAAAGATCAAAGATATGTACTTTTGTGTGTATGTTTGTGAGACATTTACATTTTTTTTTTAAAGCATTGCGCAAGAAGGTCTTTCCTCGGTTATGGTCGAGAGCAATCTAGGAATGTAAGGTAAACAAAATATTTTTTATATGATAGAAGGGCATCTCCATGCTTCATTCAGTTGATGGTAGATAAAACACCCCAGACATATAACATCTAAACAACATACTCTGTCGAAATATGTTGGCTTTGGATGTTCGGAAATCTACAGACTGAAACAGAAATGTGATTAACGTTGGCCGATTTTTCATCCGTGATGTTCGTAACTTGGTTGGAAGCTTCTGTAAACCCTTTTAAACCTCATGCAATGGACTTTAAAAATTAGCTATAATTTCGTGTTATATATATATATATAATACGAAATTATATTTATTAAATAGATATAATAGTGTTTTAACTAAACCCTCGCAAAGTTTAAATCAAATTGGGACTCTGGAAAAAATGTGTAAATTTGAAATCTTTATTTTTTAGCTGTGCAAAGCTGGGGCGCACTAGTCTATAATAATTAGGTTACGTTCTTACCGTAGTATGGCGGTTCCACATAAAGAGCTCTCGGTCAGAAGAAAAGTAGCCAGCACGATGTAGGAGATTGTCAACAAGTATATTTCATTCATAGCGGGTCTGCTAAGGCACGCGAGAAGACCTGCAACACAAACGCCATTAAGCAATGAGGGATAATCCGCTGCTAGACCGTGGATTAATGTCTTTTGATTATTTTTTTTGATTTGAATGTCTTTGACTCGACCATCGTTGGAAAGTTTCGATGTTTGAAAGTAACCGGAAGTCTACAAATCTGTTTCAAAAAACCAAGGTTATATCATGAAACGATTGAGCAGGGACATTTGGGGTAAATCAAAAAATTACATTATACAAAAAGATATAATAGATATATTGAGTAAATATTCTATTACAGGCAAATTTCCAGTACCGTGAGTTTTTTAATTAACAACTAGTGCCGTGCCCGCGATTTCGCCCGCGTGGAAAACTTATTTACGGCATCAAAATTTTCTTCTCTGCATTATAAATTATAGCTTTTACCCACGACAACGTCGTTAACTTGTTAGTTAATAAAAAAAAATATTTATTTCGTGGACATTTTTTTTTTCAGACCAATTAAAAGAAATATCACGCTCCCTTAGATATTTTTCGGTTTCTTAAACCGTTTTTGTAGCGCAAGTATAGGAGGCCCATAAAGATTAACAGTATTCCCCGTTTCCACATTTCACACTGTTTCTTCAATTTTATCGGTAGACGCGTGATGTTTTATATCCTAAAGCCTTCTCGATAAATGATCATGATTTTCAATAGAGTGTAAAATAAAAATGCGCATTTAACTTAGAAAAAATAATTTGTACTTTAAAACTAATACAGTACGTATAGTAGTAATTATGTAGATTAAGAGTTTTAGATTATAAATATATAAATAAATCAACTAGTAGTAGTAGGCTACTCTGCCTCTAGCGGTGTCAACTTGTGCTTGTGTGTGTCGTTCAATAGAATGTTCTACTAATAACGAAGTAGCGGGAAGTTCTCTTTGTTGTTGCGGATGCGTTGCGTTTAAGAGCGGGCTAATTATGAAACTCCAAGTGCACCTTTGCCATATCTAAGCCTGAGGTAACCATCCTTTGATTCTCCACTCCCTGAAGACTGCTAATACGAGCTGGCTGCAACACACAGCTAACAGCAATTACGGCATAGTTCAAACGTCGTCCGCTTAATATACTTGCTCTTTAACTAGGATTGAATGACTGACAAAAGTGGAAGAAAGTGCATTTTTATGTATTGTCTGTAGTTTATACGTTTAAATATATTACTTCTAAACGGGTCAAAACGCGAAATATATTTGCTATTTATGCTATTTTAACTGCCGTAATTTAGGATTATTTGCAGCAGTCGTGGCCACGGAGGCGAAAAATAAGTTAATTAATATATCGTGTTTTAAACGGTTTAATTTTATTTTTCGTTTAGTTCTATAGAGTATTGGGTAGCCACTAAATTGACACTCGTACACGCTGCATATTTATGTGTAATGTTTAAAAACATTATTTTTTGACATTTATTAATATTGTAAATATATATTTTATTAAACTTCATGTAAGTTTCGTTACAGCATTGTTGATTTTATACACAAAATCGTTTGTTTGAAACTAAGCTGTTGTCTCGAAAAACGAGTTGGATATATAAGAAATCTATACTAATATTATAAAGTTAATGAGTTTTTGGTTTATTTGAATGCGCTAATCTAATTACTGTTTTTAAAATGAAAAATTAGTTTTGTATTAGTCTACATTTATCAAGGAAGACTTTTAGGATATAATATCATCCGGCGACAAAGAAACAGTGGAAACTGTGGTAAAAACGGGCAAAATTATCAATCTTAGAGGGCTTCAGTTGCTTGGCAAAACGGATCAATAACCAAAACATATGTATAAAAGCGTGATTCTTCTTTAACGGTCTACAAAAAAAACAGAATATATGTCTATCTTTTTTAGATTAATTCGCAAGAATGACGTCGTCGATCGCGTACGAAGTACCTACGAAAGTGACACTACAATTTACAAAGATGAGAAGGTTTGCAAAAATAATTTTTATTACCAAATATAAGTATTCGACGCGGACGAAGTCGCGGGCACACCTAGTGTGTTTATAAAAGCTTGGCATCAATTGTGGCGTTACATTTTCCACGTGTAGTCCGAAATCGCAAACATAAGTAAGCGATCTACGTCAATCTTATAACTGATCACTGTATGTGACACTCAATCAATTGTTTCAAGATATCGCGAACGGCGAGTTTAATCCCCCTTTCAATAAACGTAGCAAACAAATTTAATATGAAGTTACAATCCATTCGATATTATTTAGACTTTCAGTATAAATTTCACTTTGTAGAATTCCGATCTACGTCGCTGGGATTTAATTATTTTCGTATGAATATTAAAGCTTTTCAGAACTCGGGATTTGTAGATTTGTATGTTATTTCAATACTATATGTTTTAAAGTATTAACAAGTTTAAATAGATATAACGGAATAAGCTAATCCTATTATAACTAGTTTATTTTTAATTATAGAGAAGGATAAGGGTGGGATACACTTGACGGAAGGTAAAAGGTGAAATACCCTAGCCATATAACATATCAATTTTGTATATTCAGAAAAAAACGGACTGAAATCGAAACGCGATTAAACTTTACAAAATTTCTCTACTGTGGATGGTGGTTCACGACGAGCTTTCGATATTCAAATTAGGTCCTACATGTTTTTTGAGACGTGTTGGTCCCGGTGGGGATCGAACCCGCGACTTAATGAGACCAATGAATATTTGCAATATTAACAATGTTTCATTTGATATAGTTTCGATTTCATGCATTAGTCTAGGGCACAGTTGCCGAATTGTGATTGATGATTTTTTTTGCAAACTTTGTGGGCACAATATTAAAGATAAACTTACACGTATACACCAAGGCAGCAAGTCCGAAGAGCACTACGTTTATTAGGTGGGCAAGTCTCTCTCGCTCAAAGTAACCCTGTGGCTCTTGTGTTGAATTCGTTTTCGTAAAAGCTGTGTTCACCGTAGAGATGCTTTGACTGAAAAGAGTAAGTAAGCTTTATTTGTGTCAATTGAGAATCTAAATATCAACAATGAAACGAGATCGTGGAGTAACTAAAAAAAGAAAAAAACAATCTATTCACATTGAAAAAAATGACCGCATTCCGTGCTGGTGCGCTAAATAATTGAGCTACCCTGTCTTACACGTCATCGGTGTATTTCTTCATACAATTGAAAATCATTAAATATGAAATAGTAGAGTTTTTATCGTTTGAAAACTTAAATATTTTTCCCATGTTATTGCACATGATGAGAGTGGATTAGGAGGTGCATTTATCAATGAGTTGAAGAAATTCGACGATGACGTGTAGGACACGGTAGCTCAATTGGTTAGAGTACAGGTACGGTACGCTATGAAAACCGGGCCGACAGGGGCGGGTGTCGTCAAATTTTTCATTTATATAACGCCATCTTGTATTATGCAAGTGTTAGCACGATAGAATATTTCCGCTTACATATACTAATTAACTTTGACATGACTATAACAAACTAAATCAAGAAATTTTATACAAGTTCTTGTTATTGTACTGAAGAGAACATAGCCATAGGCGACTAGTAAATAATTGATTTTAGACTTCGAAACTGAGAGGTTCCGTAAACCAACAAAAACCACCCAAAACGGAAAATCCACGATCTGTTTATTATTATATGTTAATAACAAGATAACACATTGCAATTCAACAAACGCTCAACTAGGAACTTTATCTTTATACAAATTAAAAATCTATTAGAATAAAAAACGACACGACAGACTTAAACCGGTGTCGACAGCGGTCTGTGCTGCTGTTCTAATTAAATGAGCTACCGTGTCTCACAGGTCATCGCTGATTTTATCAACATCAACACTTACATATTGAGGTTCAATAAATTTTCCTTTACCGCTTAAGACAATCTTTAAATGATAAATTCCAGAGCTTTTAACTTTATGTTTTTCACACGATGGGTTTGTATTTTGAACCGGCATCCACAGCGTTCTAAGCTGCTCTAACAATTGAGCTACCGTGTCCTACACGTCATGCACCTCTGGCGCAATATAATTTCAACTTTAAGTGTTAAGTTTGAAATTACATTGCTTTGAAACTTTATCCTTCTGTGTCATCCGGTTGTCATGTTGACTTCTAACACCCTCCCACTTCCGGTTGACTATTCCGATTTGACTTCAAAAGTACGCAAACAATTTCCCGTAGCCGCCGATACGTATATTATGCGTGGACGGATACACTATTCATCGGTACCTTTACACGTGATCGATTCGATACACGCACGACTCGAAGTATTTTTCATTTTATAGTACTCTAGGAGGAGGGGATATGAAAATATTTGTTCCTCGTAATCACGACATTGAAAAGCATAAAAAAATATTTTTTTGTTGTTAAAGTCTTATAGCTAATTGTCAATATATCTACCTCTTATCAGGTACTGTGTTGGTGAAATTGGTAAAAATATTGAGGGCTTCCGTGATGAAGTTCTGCGCGTACAACAATGATCTCACTTGGACAGCGACCAGGCCCACGCCCACGCCCAGCAGGAGTCCCAACAATGTCATCATGTTCGTCTGGTTCATTCGGAGGAAATAACGCTGGTACAACATTTCCACCTGGAAAGAAAAAAATATGAAGACAAAATTATCAGTGCCGGTCGAACAAATACATTTGTATGTTTAAATAAAACACATTTTAACAGCTGCGGTCGCGGCTACTTTTCTCCCTCCCCGGCTCCTGCAAAGCGTCCAACGATATACAAGAGAGATCCACGGTTCGAACTCTCGGGAAAATAAAAATTATTACGAACATGTATGTCATAACGGCATTAAGCAATGTTTGTAGTTTACGCCAGTAGTACATATTTAAATAAAACATATTCAACTGGGTAAAACGCAAATTATATATAAGGTGACCACGACCACTGCTAAGCATCGCAAACCTTGGGTCGTCATTATAAAGAATTTAAGTTATATATTACGCGTTTTAAACCATTTTTTTTAAATGAAATGTATATTACTCGTGTAAACTACGAACAATGTCGTTATGTTAAACATGAACGTAATAATTTTTTATTATTTTTTTGAGAATTCAAACCCCGGATCTCGCTTGTATACCACATTGCTAGTACAGTGGCAAAGTAAATTTATGTTACGTTTAAACGATTCGATGTGACTCAGGTAGCACCGCGACGCACATGTAATGGTCAGCTATACCATTAGTTCAATAATCTAGTTGCGTCTTCACTCAGACATGTTTAAAATTGAGTGATAAACAAGCACTCGGCCTTAACACAGTGCTTTATCGGACCTTTTACCATAAATCAGTTTGTCCTCTTACGATTACAATAGGACACTATTGTTATTAGTAGTGCCGTGAGTTCGTCTGTATAACCCGCATGCAGTATACGAAACGAAACCCCAATTTCAAAAGTACCATTTGCTCGAAAAATTGTGTGGAATTGTTAAATATGATTTATCTATACTAATATTAAATACTGTCTATATATGTATATATATATCTCCCCGTGACCACGGCTGCTGCAAAGCATCCGAAACGTCGGGCCGAAGTTAAAAATCATTTTCAAATAAGTTTAACTAATATATCGCGTTTTAAACCGTTAAAGTGTTTTATTTAAATATACTAATATTATCAAGCTGAAGAGTTGGTTTGTTTAAACGTACTAATCTTAGGAACTACTGGTTTGAGTTAAACAAATATTTTTGTATTAATAGAACATTTATTGTGGAATGTCATAGGCTATAAAACATTAAGCTGCGGCCAAAAAGAGAAAAATAAAACAGAGGGATATGTCGAACAAACGGGTAAATTAATCAACTTTGAGGATTTCCGTTGCGCGCTGCAAGAACTGTTTTAGAAATCACAATGTGATTCCTTTTTATATTATCTTGAATAACTTGAGAAACGGGACGTGGACGATATTGTGGGCACCAGCTATATTTTATAAAGCTGATGAGGTTTGCAAAAACAAAATTTGATGCCCCAAATTACCATTCTACTGAAGCGAAGCTGAGGAAGTTGTTTGAAAAATTCACAACAGAAATAACTATTCCACACGGCTGAAGTCGCGGGTACAGCTAGTTATATTATAAGATAAACATTCCATACTCCATACTCAATTCATGTTCAGAATTAAAACGTATTTATCGCAGTATTTGAAATCATAAATTGGAAGTTCCATGCAAAACTTGACACTTTAAGAATGAGGGATCACGGTATCGTTCAAGTTTCTTTCGCAATTAATTTACAACTTCCCCGTCGCCTGCGAACTTTGATACAGGTTGTTCACTTGCAAGTTAATAAGATGTTCTCGGAATTTCTATGATTGCATACGCTGAAAACTACCACTTTGTAGAATTTCTTATATGCTTTGTCCATGTGATATTTTAAGAAACGGAATGCGTAGTGGCAATGTGTTATGTTATGCAATTAAATATACTAATATTATAAAGCTGAAGAGTTTGTTTGTTTGTTTAAACGATCTAATCTCATTTAAATAAAACACTTTAACGGTTTAAAGCACGATATATTAGCCGAACGCCCGTGACCACGGCTGCTGCAAAGCATCCGAAAGTCGGGCCGAAGTTAAAAATCGATATTTCAAATAATTTAAACCGTTAAAGTGTTTTATATAAATGTTGTACTACTCACGTAAACTATAGACAGTATTTGAGATTTTTCCGTTGGTGAGAGCATTTATCGAAGAAGGCTTTAGGCTAAAACATATTGTGACCAATGAACAGTGGAAAATGTGAAACAAACGGGGAAAATTATTCTTCTTTAAAAGTTTCTATTGCGTCCGCTGGGAAAACGGTTCGACATACCCAAACAAATATATATATGAAAGACCGACTCCTTTAAATAATCTTAACAAATGTCAGCGGTACTACATAACCACGACGCCGTGGGTAACAGCTATAATATATTAAGATGATGGAAATTTGCTGAATCAAATTTTGACGCCCAAAAATACATATCCTATGTGAACGTAGTCGCTGGCACAGCTATATATGTAGTATTATAACTTTCATGCTTTCCATGTAATTATTTTTAAGTAAATTTACAGTTTTTCATATTTTTAGAGAGAAAATATCTTCCCTAACCTGATTTTAGTTTTGCGTAATAATTGTTCTTGCGTAATAATAATAAATTCATTTTTTTTTAACTACGCCCCGACGTTTCAGATGTTTTGCAGTAGCCGCGTTCACAGGGAAACTTAAGTTGGAATATCAACGCCGAAACGTCTGCTACGCTAGCGCCATCTATTCCTTCTTAGTTTGTATTTGAAGAAAATAGATAAGTCTTTGAAGACTGACCTCATGGTAGTCAATTTGGAATCTATTGTTTTTTAACTAGTGTGACGTTTATAAGTTTATTTACCTACGTGAATAAATGCTTTTTGACTTTGAATTTAACAGCAAGTTTACTTTCATACAAAACATCCGTAACATCGGCCACTAGGTTAAAAAATTAAAATTAAGGTAACTAATACATTAGGCGTTTTCAACGGTTTAAAGATGTTTTAATTAAATGTGTACTACTCGCGTCCAACCACAGATAATACTCAGACTTACATTGAGGTTCTCAAATCGATGTGAGAGGCAAAGAGCCCGCATTGGTTCCGGGCACTTGTTGATAAAAGCTTCGCAGGCGTTCATCTCTTCGCCATCTTCGTCCTCAGAGGGGCCGCCCCCCGCGTCCCCACTTGGCTCTGTTGAACAATTTTAAAATTAACATTAAATTAAACATGAATAAAGGATATTTTCGCATCCAGCGCTGTCAACATTTTTATGATAGACAAGGACAGATAAGGTTTACTAAATGGATGATGAAATAACCATATAACATCAAGTTGCTTTGTTGACCTATTTTGGCTTTTGATATTCAGAAATCGGCAATGCGATTAAACTTCACGACCACGTCAACCATGTGACACGGATGGAATTTCGTCATTTCTACTACCCATTTAATATTTAGAAAAAATATATGGAATCGCAATTTGTTGATTATTACTCATAGTTTATTTATTACCATTATATCAAGGTGTAAACTTAATTTGTAACTGTCAAAATTATTGCGTAATGTTTCGCAATCTATACCAATATATGAAGCTGAATAGTTTGTTTGTTTGAACGCGCTAATCTCAGTAACTACGGGGTCGAATTGAAAAGTTCTTTTTGTGTTGCTTAGAACATTTATCGAGGAAGGCTATAGGCTATAAACATCGCGCTGTGACTAGTAGGAGCGAAGATACAGCGTGAAAAGTGAAGAAAACGGGGGAAATTCTTCATCTCTGTGGGTTTCAGTTGCGTACGCTGCGAAAACGGTCCAAGATACCTAAAAATTAAGTATGAAAGAAAGATTTTTCTATAAATTATCTAAAAAAAATCCGCGATGCTATATGTCTATCTTTTAAGATTATGCAGGAACGACGAAGGGACGTGATCGACGACAACATTCGCAGTTGGCGTTTAAAAATTTACTAGGCTAACAGCTTAAGTTTATAAACGCGACCGCCTAAAATAACGATTCTGGGGACGAAGTTGCTGGCACAGCTAGTTTAATAATATGTATAATCACGAAAACACAACATAATAAATCTCATAACTCTTGCACATTATAATGAAATTATACCGTTAAAAAGACTTCCTTCAACTACCCTTTCAGTAATACAAATTTAATAATATTTATGGCTGAAGGGTAAATGACCCCACCTCCCACCTACTTGTCAGCAGTTGAAATGTAGACGTCAATAAACTGGGCTCATAAACTGTTTTTATTCCCGTCGTAACTCAGTTATCATCTGAGATGTTCTAGATACAGGGGTTGATTTTACGAGATTGCCATATGTGACGAAAGTGCTAATACGGTAAGCAAATCTTGAAGAAACCAATAGTGTGTGCTATATTGCAAAACATTAGTCTTAGTGATGGTTTAACAGATGGTTCGTCACCCAGCCGTGGTCATGGGGAAATCATATTCAAATAAGTTTAACTAATATATCGCGTTTTAAACCGTTAAAGTGTTTTATTTAAATTGTCTTAAGCGTATTATAGGGAAAATGAAACGTGCGACATATTATGTGTATACTATCGTTTTGATATGTGTAGGTCTATAACTTTGAAAACTTTAGTATCCTTCACATGGTTGCCCTTGATGGCACCATATAAATTAAAAACCGATTGTAGATTGGATAAACTATACAACAGAGGCAGGACTTGAACCGGAGGATTGAGATACCGTGTCCTACATGTTATCGTCGAATTTTTTGACCTATTGATACATGCACCTCTTGCGCAATGTAATTTCAACCTAAACACTTGCTTGTTAAGGTTCAATTTCTTATTGCACATTTTCTATTTTTCTCTAACTTAATCAATCTTTAATTTTCTAATTAAGATAACTTATACAATATGTAAGTAAAATTCAGCAATTGAGTTTCATTTATTATTTGTGATCTTACATTGAGAACTTTAGTATCATTTTTTTTGAGCTCGTTTCAGGCGTATTAAACGTTCTGAAGAATCGTATTAAGCGTTACAAAATGTAATAAATATGTTTTAAATTAGTTAAACTCGTTATACTGTATATAGCAACAAATACTTAAAAAATCAGACGCAAGTATCGGCCATTAGGGACGCTACCTTTTCCGTTTAAATATGCGAAATACAATATCCTATTACGCAAAGTACGTTGAAGACCATTAACCAGAAAATAACACCCGAATACACATCAGCGAATCAAACGACATATTACGCTTTGTAAGGCCGGCTCCCGTTAACAGTCCTAATTGTGTAACGCGAGTCTTTCCAACGACCATTCTCACCTGTTGGGGTGCGCTCCCCTTTGATACGGAATAGAATTCCTTTCTGGGAACAGGGCCGGATTTAAGAAATATGGTATTTAGGGCAACGAAGGTCTTGAGGCACAAAAGTATTTTCAAAATAATATACAATTTCTTTCACGTGAGTTTTTTTTTATAATCAATAAAAAAATTATAAATATTGTTTACGTAAGTAATACACATTTGTACGTAAATGTAAATTTTAACGATTTAATACTTGAAATTTTTGAAATCACAAATCATTCATATTGGATGCTTTCTGCTTTGATATGTGGTCATGGCAGGACTGAAGATGGAGGCTGTTCCTACAATTGATTGTGAACCAAATAGATAATTTTAGTATTTAAAGGACATAATAATCAATAATTATAAAAATGTGAATTTAATAATCGCGTTCAATATCACGGATTTAGAAGAATACATTCAAAACATTAATTGTGGGGCTCCCCTTATATAGATGTCGTTTTAAATCCGGTCCTGTCTGAGATGTACAATCTTCGTGGGCGTCACAATATAAATACTAAGATACAAAACCGCGAACCTGTTTTACGCATTATTATACAAATAGCTAACAGTCGATATTGCGCCCGGGATTACGTGGAATAGCTATTTTGGGCATTATAATATTTATTATTGCAAACAACCTTTTCAGCTTTATAAATAATAGCTGTTACCTACGAATCTTCCTGTCGTTCTTGCGAGTTTATCTTAAAAGATACACATATTACACTATTGCGGACATTTCTTTAGTTCATTTAAAGGAGAATCATCGTTTCAAACATATTTCTCGGTTTTTTGAACCGTTTTCGCAGCGCACTCAACGGAAGCCGTCAAAGATGATTTTTTTTCCGTTTTTTCTACATTTTCTTCTCTCCTATTGGTTGCAGCGTTATGTTTTATGACCTAAAACCCTCTTCGATAAAAGGTGTAACACAAAATTTCAATTCAAACCAGTAGTTCCTGAGATTAGCGCGTTCAAACAAACTCTTAATATCACTATAGATATATTAATATGAAACAGGCCTCTCCAATGCTTGTCAACATTTACAATACTGTCTGTGTTTGCGCGAGTAGTACACATTTAAATATAACACTATAACGGTTTAAAACGCGATATATTTCAAAATCGAAGACACCGTGAGTCAATTCTGTACGGACCGTTTCGCCAAATACCAACTTCGACGGAACAGGTGGCGCTAGCGTAGCAGTTTTTTACTTTGACGTCAGAGACATCCTCCATCCTTAGTCTCCCCGTGACCGTAGTTAAAAATAATTTTCAAACAGGTTTAACTAAAATATATCGCTTTTTAAAACGTTAAAGTGTTTTATTTAAATGTTTATAGAAAAAATTAAAAGTATATATTAAATCGAGCGATTACTAGTTGTACCTATTGTGAGATCTAATACTATCATTCTATCAGACATATAGTATGAGATATGGTTTTCAAGTGACCCTCACGATAAGTGGCGTTTTTACAAAACATACAGGCGTTATTCGCTCGTAATTAGATAACGGTGACAACGTTTGTTTATTGGTCGGCTCGGCCTGTAAACAGATGAGCGTGGAGTTGTTTATTTGGGGACGTGTCCATCGGGCGTTATTAGCAAGCGATACAAGCTCGTAGGGCGTCCGGATGTTACACAATTCTAATTACGCTCTGCATTAACTGTAGGACGTTTTCAATCATTTGTGTTTGCGAAAAAAAAGCTAATTCCGCGTTAAGATTTTTAAATAATTACTAGCTGACTGAGCTACCGTTCTTTTGCCATATATGTCACAAATGGTTCTTATAAGTCAAATTTAAAATCTAGATATATATTATTTCGGATATTTTCTTAGATTATTTAAGATATATATTTTAAGAAGAATAGTTTTATAATTTTTTTTTGTATCTTGAACCATTTTCGCGGCGCGTGTAACTGAAATCCTCAAAGAGGAGTTATCGTCTTCGCTCTTTGCAACCTGTTAGTCATTTCAACACAAAAAAAGTCGTCCGCAGACGAGCACGTACATAGAAACAAACAAACTCTTCAGCTAATAATATTAGTATATTTAAATAAAACACTTTAACGGTTTAAAACGCGATATATTAGTTATACTTATTTGAAAATTATTTTTAATTTCGGCCCGACGTTTCGGATGCTTTGCAGCGTGACCACGGCTGCTGCTAATATATCGCGTTTTAAACCGTTAAAGTGTTTTATTTAAATGTGTACTACTCGAGTAAACTATAGACAGTATTTAATATTAGTATAGATGTATAATTTTTTGTTGTTTGAAAAAAAATATTCATGTTTTTTCTACACAAAAATGTTTATAAACTGACGTTACCGAGTGTCACATTTATCACTTTAACAAATGTATAATGTTTAAAAAACATTTCTTCATTATATTTCAAACATTTGAATGCACTGGACCCATAAAAACACGAAATTTTTAAAACAAAAAACCCGGCAAATTTTTTAACTGCATAAATATTTTCACGAGTTCCATTATAATGGTTGAGTTGTCGTCGAAATTCTACGGGTATATTAGTTTGAAAAAAGAACAATTGACTTCTATTATTTGAAATATCTATCATAAAAAGGAAGTATGAAGTGACATACAAGCTCGTTTGTACGGCTAATAATCTATGAAAACTAGATCATTTAAATTTCATTAAAATCGCTAGAGCCATTTCGAAGGGGTATGGCAACACTGTGACACGAGAATTCTCTACATCAGCCTTGTAGTCTTAGAACGACCCTTACGCCGACTTTTGATAATAACAACATTCCATTAACTCGCCCGTAGGATGTGCTCAATCAATTCACATATAAGATAAACATACGCGAAGAAGAATTTATGATGCTATGAGTAACTGCATGTCAGTTCACTCACACATTGATGGCAGATTTTTTACACGCGCTACTGTGAATAAAATATGTCTAATAAGAATTTCCACGCGTGTTAGGTTAGGTCAGTTATATTATATTAATACACACAGTACAGATTTTAAGAAAACACTCAACTAAATACGGCGTTTGGTATTGTGTTTCCTTAACACAGAATTGTTAGTTTAATGCATACCGATAAAGCGCAAAGGATAAGTTAAAAATAAATCGCGAATAGTACACATTTAAATAAAACACTTTAATAATAAAACATTTTAGTCAAACTTGTTTGAAAATAATTTTCAACAACGGCCCGATGTTTCGGATGCTGTGCAGCAGCCGTGGTCACGGGGACACTGTCTATATCGCGTTTTAAACTGTTGAAGTGTTTTATTTAAATTGGTATTTCGTTAATGAAACTGTCTAAGAAACTTATAGGATTTAAATAATCTGTCTATCGCATTCTAGACGAATAATTCTTTTTCGTTTTACGTTTCGCAGTGAGCCCTTATTTTATTGTATGCTGACATTACGTCTATACATTTGTATAGATGAAGGCAGAACGTTGAAACAGAAAGCTTCAAATACCGGGACTTGAGCGAAATTTGTAAAATGATTTTGTCATATTCAATTTACAAGGCTTTCAAGCGGGAACGGAGTTCCTTTTACAGGTTAAAATTCTGTGAAAACTTTTCTCCAATTATCTATTTGATACTTGAATTTCATTTTGTTTCGATGTTATAAAGTTCGTTAATCTATACTTATGGAGCTGAGGAGTTAAAACGCGCCGAGAAAAAGTTAAAATGTGGAAAAAAACGGAGTAAATTAAGATACAGATAGATTACTGAATATAAATAAGTACGACAAAGTTTTTCAATATTGGTTCAAGTAATTTTCAGCGGTTGACGTAACCTGTTATAAATAGAAACAGGTCGATGTTAGGAGAATCTTTGTTCGATAATATACAAAATGTTGAGAAAGCAAAAAAAAGTGACAGTTCGGTAAACAAACACACATAATTATTTTTGCGCAAATATAGGTCGTAATTGTATATTGTCTGTTGTACATGTTAGATAAAACATTTTTAACGGTTTAAAACGAGACTTATATCCGAGAACTGATTTTTAATTTGTTTTAACTACTTTAACTAATATATTTGGTGTTTTAAACCGTTAAAGGTGTTCTTTAACGCTAAAAAATGGTAATCGATGAAAATGTTTTTCATCGGTGTACATCGGCCATCTTGACGTTCACAAAATGGCACCTTTCAAGATTCCTCTTTAATTAGCAATTCAAATATTTTCCTTTTAGAATCCACCATTCAATTTATAGAATCTAGAGTGGTTTATGTATTATTTACGCTTGGTTCGCCTTTAGATGTCAACGGGCTGAATTTAAAAGCGCATAAATATTAAAAAATACGGTATCATTTGGTGAAAAATATCCTTTGAAATCTTTAATATTTTTCACGTGCTATTGCATACGATGGCATTGTATAAATTGGAAATCTAATTGCATATAACTTTCAGACTTCCATGCCCTACCCCAAGGAAACAATTTCCCCGGGATTTGAATCTAGGATCTTACGTTTAACCAGTTATTACATCTATAAGCCACTTAGCTCAGTCGAAACCGGAAACAGTAGACAAAAATTTAAATTTAGAATTCAATGACTCAAATTACATGCATCTAAGCTGTACAGTACGTGTTCATTTCTACATCCTTAAACAACAATCACTGTCAGATATGTAAATCTATTTTCCGAGCCACTGATACTGTTACCAACTATTACTTTCCCTCCAGAGAATTAACGTCTGCAGGCAGAGTAGATATTATGCGTGGCATTTATTATGAGTTATAACAGAAAACCTAACATGATTATTTAAGACAATTTCCTCAAGATCTCAACCACAGGTGAGATAAAGTACTCGTACACCTTACTTTAAATTTTCCTATTTGACATCAAATGTATTTTTTTATAATATCGAAAATTGCTTGGCTGGTAGAAATAAGCTATTTAACATAATAATTAGTTTATCTTATATACTATGTTCATTAGTTGTAAGATATACGTGTAAATATAAAAAAACATATTTTAGAGTTGACTGGACTTGGTACCCATTTCAATTTCACTCCTTTTATCGTTGATGTCAATTGTCAACAACCGAAGCATCTACCATAAAATTGAACTTGACTTTCACTTGATGTTTCTGATAGGATTATAATTACACATACAAAGCATTATAATAATGCATATTTAATAATAAGTTTGACATGTTATACGCAAAGACTGAAGCAAGAGCAGCTTTATATAGTGCCACATGTGAAAAATATTAAAGCTGTTAATGTAAGTCCAGTGTATAATCAAGGGACTGTAGATTCGAGTCCCCTCGGGCCAGCATCATTGTAAATCAAGTTCTGAATTCTAACGACCACTAAATGGAACGTTAGACGTAGCGACATCCCTAGCGGCCGGCCATCTTGTTTCAATCTGAGCCACCTCCTTAAATTTTCTTAAAATATTCCACAAACTCACCAAGTAGAGGTTGGATGTCCACGTCAGGTTTTCCAGATGGGCAGAGAGGTAGGGCCGGAGAGGATGCTGCAACACCACCCTCGGTTTCCACCTGCAAATAATTAGGTTAGGTTAGGTTTTTAATTCCAGGGCTCCCTTGAAAATATAGTAGCGGGCTGGTCAGCTATTGTCTCCGAGGAGATTGTAGTACGATTTACCACACCCCCCACGTCACTATTGCCAGACGTGGGTGTGCATTAAGCATTCACAACATCAATAAAGTTATTTAAAATAAACTAATAGTAATCTTGCAATAAACGTTGTTTTTAGGCATTTTTTTCACAATTACGAAAAACGCACAATTATATAAAATTTGAATAAAACAACTTAATAATACGATTTTCATATATTTTATGTAGTACGCATTGAAGTTAAATACTTTTAACTGTTTAAAACGCGTTATATATTAGATAACTTATTTTTAATTTATTTTAACTACGGCCATTGTTTCGATGTTTTGCAAACGGCCATGGTTACGGGGTAAAAGATAATATAGGGTGTCAAAGTCAAAAATGGTACGCCAGTTGTTGCGATGTAGTTGGCATTTAGATAAACTGGCTAAGTCCTAACAGAATTGACTCACGAAGTCCTCTCGTTTACTACCTTAAATAACTACTTACCCAAACAACAGGTGTTCGATATCTTAAAGAATTTCACCCCAACTGAAATTGTGGGTCTTGATTGATTGGTTCGGGGACCGTTCTTGGAAAAAACCTTACTTCTTTTGCAAGTAGTATTGGGCAATTTTATTTACGTTTATCTATAATATTATAAAGCTGAAATTTTTGTTTATTCGAACGCGCTTGTCTCAGAAATTACTGGTTCGAATTGAAAAATTCGTCGGATGGATTCAGACGATGTGGACAACATCAACAATTTACAAAGCTGAGAATATTGTTTGCGAAAATAAATAACTATTCCACGCGCACAGAGTCGCGTGCACAGCTAGTGTTTGATATCCGCTATGTGTTTTTTCATCTCTTGGAGAAGCTACGCTTTATTTGCCGATGTACCCGTGGGGAAAAGTTTTACTAATATGTTTGAAATCGTTAAAGGTGTTTTATTTAAAACTATTTTCATCTATTATCGCAATTATTAAAATTAAGTAAAACTGACTTACTTTTCTTCGTACTTGTAACCACGATTGACTCCTGTTTGACATCGAAAATTGCTCAGCTGAATCGAATGCAACCGAAGTATTCTCATTGTAAACGTGTCATATCAAATGTGGAAAGAGAAAATTTTATTAAGAAATCTCATTGCTCTCAAATTTGTTTCCAAGATTTCATTAATTCTAAAACGTTTCTGCTGTCGCGGCTATACTTGACGGAATGTATTTGACAGTTTTCGTAGGGTATGCGTGATATGTGTCTATAGCTTGCGAAGACTAAAAATCAATACTTTGAAATGTGTTGAGTTTTTGGCGAGTCTCAAGTTATATGAACTTGAACGCGTTTGAAAATATTCTAGCTAACTAGCTGACCACGAAATGTTATTATGAGAGGAACGCTCAGTAAAAAAGGGAGTAGAAATGTCATGAATTATTTTCTAGATTACTTAAAGTGGAATAATACCCTCATTTAGTTTTCGCAACGGACACAACGGAAGCCCTCAAAAAGGAATATTTTTTCCGTTTTAACCACTTTTTGTATATATTAAATATATTCGTTATCTTATTTACATATCCCCGTTCCAACGTGACCACAGCTGCTTTAAAGCATTCGAAACGCGGTATCCGTAGTAAAAAAAAAATTGAAAAAAAAAAGAAATTAACTAATATATTGCGCGTTTTAATCCGTTGAAAGTGTTTGATTCTCCTTGTGTTTTACTATTCATTTTATGTTCAATAAAATTAATACCCGAGCTAATAATATCGTAAAATACAACAGTTAGGTACTAAGTAATTTTAGTTACGAACATAACCTACATCTTCCTATTGCTTGAATAGCAAAAGTGATTCAATATTCGATACTCCACTTCGATACGGAGGCATTATTCGTGTAGGTACGTACATAGTCCAGGAGCCGAAGTATTAAAACTGATATTCACTAACGATCCTATTAAATGGGCAAAGCTTAAAATAACTTCGTAAAGAAATCACCTTTATATATATGAAGGGATAAAGGCGTTATTGTGGTATATCATTAAGATATAGACATATCATTTGTTAAATTAAATGGGTGGTAGGAATATCGAAAATTCCGTCCGGTTCACGAACCACCGTCCACAGATGAAAGCCGTGAAGTTTAATAGCGTTTCCGTTTGAGTCTGTGGATTTCCGAATATCCAAAGTAGGTCGATAGCGCATCTTGAGTAGATGTGATATGGGGGGGGTGAAATATCACCTCCTATCAAGAGAACCCCATACATTGTCCATCCTCTTTTATCATAAAAAAATGTGAAACATGTTATATTAATAAACATATGTATTGTACATCTATTGTAAATATTCTTCTTAAATCATTATATCTATAAAAAAATCGCTTCAGAATCCGTTGTGTAGTTTTTACGATAAGCACACATGGGGACAACGACTTTGTTTTATAGTTCGTAGTGATTCATCAAGTCTGTTTACGACAAATTCGTCCCTACCATTAGACTCGGGTGAACTGATAATAAATAGGTCGGAGGTAAATTTTTCTATCCACAAATATAGCTGTATATAATATATATCGTATGAGCTGACGCAAACGTTATTTTGTTGTATGCAATATTAATATTAATACGTTGGTCGAACTCTAACAAAATTATTTGTAATAATGCATTTACAACCAAATTTGATTACCAAAATAACGGTTATAATAAGATACCGTCGCTTATTTGAAGAGAAATGTTTCTTTCTTACATATTTTTAGCTCCTTGAATAGTTATCCCTATAATAATAGGAAGCCCTTAAAGATATATCATTTTTTTTTTCTTTCTACTTTTTTCATTGTTTTCTGCTCCTATTTATCGTAGCCTATTCATTATACAACCTTTCTCAATAAATTGTTTATTTAATACAACTAAATAGTTTTTCAATTCGAACAAATAGTTCCTGAGATTAGCGCGTTGAAACAAACCAACTCTTCAACTTTATAATTTTAGAAAAAAAATCATCTTTACGCATCGAGAATAGAACCCGCAAATTTTGTTGTAAATAAATAAAGTATCCTCGTAATTATTAAAGCCACGCAAATGTTCAAATTGAGACCATCATACAACACTATAATTCATCTTGCCTAACTCTTAAACTATATGCAACCCTCTTCTTGAAATGCATTTTGCCGAGTAAATATGAACCGAGAGAAGGTTCTGTAAAATGTATCGAATATGCACAAATGTCTTATATATTACATATGAAGAATATTCTCAAGTATTATCTATAGTTTTAAGCAAGTTTAATAAAACTGTTGAATTAATATAGAACCTTTTTCATGCAAAAGAAAAAGTATACTTAAGTGGCAATGTAAATAGTCATTGTTCTCTCAAAAGTAAAACGATTCTTGAGGGGGATTCTTGTATAGCTACGGATTTTTATTTAATCCAACAAAAACTATTTTAACAGTTTAAAACGTGCAATATCTCGTTTAGAAACTAGTTAAAAGGGTCGTAGTTTAAATGAATTAAGAAAAAGCTTAACTAATATATTGCGCGTTCTAATCCGACAAAAGCGTTCTTTATAAAGAGAACATAGGAATAAAAAATATATGTGAAGTAATACATAGCGGGAACAAACACGTGAAATTTGTCGACATTTTTGTGAGTCATCCAATAATACGGTGGTCGTCCAATGGTCTCCAAAAGGATTGGGTCGCCACCCTCATGGAACGACTATAGGACTCCAGGGATTATTATAATGTAGGTTGACCTTTATATCCACTCCAATATTCGTTGACGAATAGTTTATTTTTGATCACAGTACCTACACAGTACGGTTGGCGGGAAAATTTAATTGAAAAAGAGAACAAAGCTTATTTTATATATACTTAAAGTAATTTTCGTATTTATTATTGTAATTTAGTATAGTTGTAATAGTAAACAATAAACTCGTCTCGGTAGCTTTGAATATTTATTCGCATTGAAAATCCTAACTTTGTTATGCAATTTCTATAAACTATTAACAATTACATTTTAAAAATTAATATCCCGACTTCTTTACAAGACCAAGAGTTTTTTACATTTTTCTCTTTTATTGCAGATTGGAAAAAAAAATTGTTCGAGCGATTACACTTTGGTAGCCTGCCCAATAATAAATTTCTCACTTGGCTTTCATTTAGTTCATAACAAGTCGTTATTAAGATAATTAAATAAATATATATTAATTTAAAAATATCTTTACTACTTATAATATTATAAAGTTGAAGAGGTTGTCTGTTTGTTTGTTGATTGAGAAAATTATTAATCTTTGAGTGTTTTCGTTGCGTGCGCGGCGGAAACGGTTTAAGATACCTAGAAAAGATATATGAAATAATTATGCAACTTTATATCTAAAAATTTACTCTCGACCATCTTTTAAGAAGAACTACTTAATAGAATAACACAAGATTTTTTGTGGTGATAAAATTTTGGGTTGAAATACTTGAGTGAAAACCTACGTTTGGTAGATGAGCACTAATAAAACGATGATTTTTAGCAAAACTGTTCGTCTGTTAGACAGCGCTTATTAACGTTGAATGTTTTATAGTAACGTATAAAGTAAGAAATTGTTAATAAAGTATTTAATAATTATTTTCACTCGTATTGTAAATAAAAAAGTGAAATCCATCCTTCGGCCCGACGTTTCGGATGCTTTGCAGCAGCCGTGGTCACGGGGAGACATTAAACTTATTTAAAAATCATTTTCAAATAAGTTTAACTAATATATCGCGTTTTAAATCGTTAAAGTGTTTTATTTAAATCTAATATTATTATTATTTATATTGGTGAGAACTTTTATCGAGGAAGGCTATAGGTTATAAAACATCGTCCTGTGACTAATACAGGCGAAGATACAGCGAGAAATGTAAAAAAAAATTGGGGAAGTTATGTATGGTAGGGGAAATACCCTAGCCATATACCATCTAAACTTAT